CTGCAGCGCCCGCAAGGTCCCCCTGCTCAAAAAAGCACATATACATGCCCGTCTGAAGTTTGCCAATGAACATCTGAATGATTCAGAGGACAACTGGGTGAAAGTATTGTGGTCAGATGAGACCAAAATGGAGCTCTTGGCATCAACTCAACTCGCCGTGTTTGGAGGAAGAGGAATGCTGCCTATGACCCCAAGAACACCATCCCCACCGTCAAACATGGAGGTGGAAACATGCTTTGGGGGTGTTTTTATGCTAAGGGGACAGGACAACTTCACCGCAATAAAGGGACGATGGACGGAGCCATGTCCCGTCAAATCCTGGGTGAGAACCTCCTTCTCTCAGCCAGGGCATTGAAAATGGGTCGTGGATGGGTATTCCAGCATGACAATGACCCAAAACACACGGCCAAGGCAACAAAGGAGTGGCTCAAGAAGAAGCACATTAATGTCCTGGAGTGGCTTAGCCAGTCTACAGACCTTAATCCCATAGAAAATCTGTGGAGGGAGCTGAAGGTTCGAGTTGCCAAACGTCAGCCTCAAAACCTTAATGACTTGGAGAAGATCTGCAAAGAGCAGTGGGACAAAATTCCTCCTGAGATGTATGCAAACCTGGTGGCCAATTACAAGAAACGTCTGACCTCTGTGATTGCCAACAAGGGTTTTGTCACCAAGTTCTAAGTCATGTTTTGCGGAGGGGTCAAATACTTATTTCCCTCATTAAAATACAAATCAATTTATAACATTTTTGACATGCGTTTTTCTGGATTTTTTTGTTGTTATTCTGTCTCTCACTGTTCAAATAAACCTACCATTAAAATTATAGACTGATCATTTCATTGTCAGTGGGCAAACGTACAAAATCAGCAGGGGATCAAATACTTTTTTCCCTCACTGTATGTGTTAGTGATTTTTTAAAAAATATTTTAGCTTGGAAATTCGTTTTCAAATGTAGATTTTTTTCTGCGGGGTGGGGGTCCCCCATACCCCCTGGAAGATTTGATCCCCCCCCCCCCCCCATGTTGGCTTCATGGCTACGGCCTCGGTGTAACCAAACAACCTGCCTTGGAGGGACCCTCGCCTCGTGTCTGTCTGGCACGTGCACTCGGCGCAACCACGTGGGCGCAATGGGAACTGCACGTGGGAGAGGGCATGGAGAGGCAGGGGGATGAAACAGCTTCGGGAGAGGACCAGCTTTGGTGGATATTGAGTGTTCGCGACCTTGGCACACGAGTTCAAATCCCGGTGAGGACATAATCGTGAACTTTCGTTACTAAATTTCATTGATGCACTCATCCGTCACCCGTCATGCTAATTTGTATTGCCACGTTTGTTTGTTTTTTTTACCCAGGACGGGCTCGCTGAGTCTGAAGGCTCCTTTCAAAGAGAGTCCTGCTCCACTGGAATGTTTGGGTCAATGCCATTAGCGAGTACGTCGCTTCGTTGGGGAGGGAAACACGAGCACCCGGAGGAAACCCCCCCCCAGGCACACGAGGGGTTTGCATTAAAAAACAACGTCCAGATGGATTCAAGAATCCACTCATGTACTGTCACTTCATGACCACCTCGCATAGTTCACAAATCACTACGTGATCCACCAACCCTTACCTCCACAGCGCTAGATCACAGATGCACCACCATCCTCGGGAAATCATCATTATGCAGTACAGTGTAGTCAATAACGTAATTGGCCTCAACGCAAAATTACATTTGTGAACATCGTCGTCAATTTCGTCTTCATAATGATCACTTTGACATCACGCCACGACCCTTTTGTCCATCCACTGCCGGATAAGGGCCGCGGCACGGCGTTTCGTGGTCAATGGGGGTTATTTGACCATACTTCACCACGCAGGTCAACTCCAGGTTGGGGAGAGCAGAGAGACGCAGAGAGAACGAACTACGGTGGAGTTTTCGCGACACTGCCCTCTGCCGATCAACACACGGTCCAGCAACAACCTGGCGTACGTGGTGGTGGATCACCAATGGATGCCTTATCCAGGCTCGAACCTGCTTGGCTTCTGAGATCGAATCAAATCTGTCCCCATTCATGGTTCTTTGCTCATTGGCCCTTTGATGACGATCAACCTCGTTAGAATGACGATGATTTAAGGCCTACACACAGAAGCGTTGTTTCTTCTGTGTGTCTATGTGTGTGTGTCTCTCTCTGTCTCTGTGTGAGTCTTTCTCTGCTTGTGTGTCTCCCGTGTCTGTGGTTTGTCTCTCTCTCAAATTTAGCAATCTTTGGAAGAATGTAATCAATCAGCTAAGGTGTTGATCGTTGTGTTAGCCGACTCTCTCTGTGTTGTATTGCATTATATTTCTAAGCTTACTGGGTTTGTTTTCTCATTCACGCTTACCTGATGACGGTTGCTTGTGTTGCAATCGAAACGTCGTATTCTATTTAATTTATTTTCTTTCTCCGTGACTTTACCGAAAGAACCAAAGAGTAATTCCTGCAGTCACGAAAGCTTCAAATCTAGTTTGTTATACATCCAATTGCCAAAAATCCATGACCGTATTAAAGGCCTCCCAACCTACCCCCCGTGTGGGTGTTTGACCATACTTCACCACCAGGACGCAGCCCTAACCACAGTGCCACCAATCTACATATATACGGTCACCAGTGCAGCTGTTTCCATCACTGGAATACAGCGTTCTAATTCCCGTCATCAATCAATTTCCATCATCATCACCGACCACCATCAGTCGTCCCCCCGCCACTGCAAATCATAGATCATATATCACACCGGTCATCATCACCATCACTGTCGTTGAGGATTGAATCCATAATATATAACGTACTGTATCACCAATTAGCATCAAATATTGATCAATTACCGCGCGAGGAACATGTTACTTGTCCTATCCGTATTAAAGTGCAACCAAAAAAACCCACCAAATGTATATGTTTCATAGATTGTCACGTTAGTTGTAACGCGAGTGGTAAGTCAGGTACAGCGACACCAAGCCCTTCGTCACTCCAATGCTGGATAAACGCTTCTCCGAGGCTTATCGGTAAAAATTTTTTGGGGGGGGGGGGGGAAATGTTTGACCATACTTCACCATGCTGGTTATCAGTACGGTGTGGGGGGGTGGGTGTCTGTGAAGCGAACAGGGAGTGTGGGGAGGCCCCAGTTCGGACATCACTTAGAGCCATCACGATGTTTGTTAGCCGTGGCCGGGAATCCAACTCGCGTGGCCGAGTGCCGAGCGCAGCAACTCCCTAACCAATGTGCCAAACGCGTGGTATTGATCTTGTATAAATGTTATAACACGTCTAGTGTTGTTATATGAACAACAACAACAACAACTGAGTTCTTGGGGGTGGGGGTCTGTGATCATGGGAGCGGTGGCGCAGTGGTTAGCGCACTGCGCTCGGGAACCCCGGCGACCCGAGTTCGATTTCCGCTCACGGCCAACGTCAGACGGCGAGATATCTAAAGCCAGACTTGGGACTCCTCTAGGTCGACTCGGCCTCAAACGAGTACCTGGTGCGACGTGTATACATTAGCACTAGGTGAGACAAAGACGTCCGGGCGTGGTGCTGGAAACCCCCACCTCCCTCCCTCGTGTGCCACCCCGGCCTTAATAGGTGCTTGCAAACAGCACTTGCACCGACAGTCCGTGGAAGGCTACACGGGGGATCTTGATCATTGTCTTTGTGTTCACGGCCGGGGGAGTGATACGGCAAAATGGAGGCGGGGTTGGTGGATCAGGATGGGATTAGCGCCACCATTTGACCAATGCACTCTCTTGCAGCGGTGCTTGTACTGTAACACGAGACAGTACAGCAAGCAGGCTGCAGGCAGGCTCGTGTATGCGACCATGTGTTCTTGTTCATCTCTTGACCTCGTTGGTACCGCTTTTTTTGTAAGTGAATCGAGAGTTTAAAATACCATTGGGACAAATAATTGTAAATTAGTGTACTCAGCCAAGGCTTTTTTGCGGGGCAAGATAGATTCCCATTTAACACATCTTATACTAGTACTCATCAAGCCGTGGTGGTGTTTAGTAATTCAAATTGTTCAAATTACACAATGCGCCAGTCTCGTCATCATATCTGGGAAAGCTAAGCAGCTCTGTGCCTGGTCATTGCATGGATGGGAAACTGCCCAAGGTTAGCCAAGTGTTGCGTAGGCTTTCGGCTGCGTTGTGACAAAGACACGACACCCTTCATTACCGGGTTTGTTGTATCCATCTGTGTGGAGCTTTAATGAGCATTAACCTCCCCCCCTCGTGTGTGTGTGGTGGTGGAGGGCATCTCTGGGGCACCCACCACGGATTCCGTCCACATAAAGGCAAACTCTCAATCACCACCGTGGCCGGCGCGTGACACGGGGCCAATGCTTCTTCAAGGCAGCGGCTTTTTCCCGTCCCACCACCCCCACCCAACGAAACGTCGTTATTATTGTACGGCAATACTCGTCGTCAATCCATTTATTGCGCTCGTCAACTAAAAAAAATAATTGTCATTAACTCATTAACGATACCCAGCGCCCACTGACCACGCTACCGTATTGACTCGATACGACGCGCACTACCGCGCGCGCCCGCGCGCCGGCCGACGGTAACCGCTTCACCGCGCGGCCGCGTGTATGGGCAAACGTCCGCGGAGCATCAAATAGTGCGCGACGGCCCGTCCTACACTCTTAAAATAAAAAAACCCCGCCACCTCCCTCCAACCTCAACGTTCGCCTCAACCACCACTTCAGCACTCGTTAACGGACGACGATTTGTTAATTCCTCCTTGGTAAACTTTAAGGGAGGCGACCTCCCCCCCCCCCTCACCTCCCCCCCCCCTACTCTCCGCACCGTAAAGCGAGACTTGGAAGTCGGCCGTTATTTATTTATTTTACACTTTGCGGCGGAGGGATATCGCGCGCGGGGCTTTGGCTCGGGCGAGTCCTCCTTGTGTGGCCGCGGCGAGGAGGAGGAGGAGGAGAAGAAGTGCGAGAGGCGACCGAGGCTTGGTGGTGGTAGTGGTGGTGGGGGGGGGTGTTGTTGGGGTTTTAAAAGACTTGGGAGTTTATATATATATTAACAAACTAACAACAAAAACAATTTATTTTTTTTACTCTTTGAAAAAAAAAATAACAACAAATTTAGCGTTAAGTATTTCCAACAACAATTAAATCCCGGCACTTTTGGGGATGCCCATCATGATGGAGCGAGGCTCAGAGAGCGCTCGGGGCCGGGCGACCGGCGCCAAGAGCCCGTCCGGTGCGGCGGCGGCGGCTGCGGCGGCGGCGGCGGCGGCGGCGAACGGCCACCACTCGGAAGAGAGCAGCTCCAGTGAGGACGAACGCACGGGTGTGTAGCCTCGAACACCACCCAAAAAGGCTACTTACTCCTCATTAACAGTTCATTTTTTTTGTTTACACATTTCCTTTTTTTCTTGTTGTTGTTGTGGTGGGGGGGGGTGGTGTTGTTGTGATTTGGGTTGCACGTTGTTTAATGGGTTTTGTCTTTTTTTGGAAAAAAAAATAAATGTTTTAGGAGGTGGCATTCGCGTCGGCTCGAGCTACCAGGTCGTCATCCCTCCGTTCAACCCGGGTGAGTCGCGTGGAAGCCCGCAGCGGAGTGATGGGCTGAGCGGGGGTGTAGCCTCGGTTTACTTGACATCCGTAACCCACCCCACACACTATAAACCTATGTTTTACGTTTTTTTTTATTATTTGTGTTCATTAAATATCGTTATAGTTCGGCCTTTAAAGTTTTTTTTTAATTCGTGTATTATCTACTTTGGCTATATTTATGCCTTTAAAAAAAAATCATCTTTTTTACAGTCCTGTAATACAATTGACTTGTGTCGTTTGGAGTGTACTTGACTACTTTCGTCGGATTAAAACGCTTGTTAAATTAGTTAATTTATGCCTACGATCTCTATATATTTTTTTTTGCCGAACGTTTTTATTTATTGTAAACTTGTGCGTTTCTTTAAATTGTAATATAGTTTTTTTTTAAACAAGGGAAAGAAAATGTAATCTGATCACAACCATCCCCTCCGAACGTGGCACACGGCCTTTGTTCCTGGCGACTTGGTAACATTTTGTCTTAAGAGTTGCCTAATACTGTAACATATCGTTTACATATAATGTACTGTTTAGTCCATTGTCAATCTACTGCTGGATGGAAGGCCTCGCCGAGGCCTCGTCGGGCCTTGCCGGGGGAGTTGTGTGGCCATACTTCACCCCGCTGGTTAACCCGGGGTTTAAGTGAATACACGATGGTGCTGAAATCGCGCTTGGGATAATAGCCACGATGGCAACGATATATGTTACATATTCACACCGGTTTTTGTGTTGTTGTTCACGCAAATGATAACTTTAGTTGCGTGACGTGGCAGTGAAGATAACGTGCCTTGAAAAAAAAAGATATAATGCGGGATTGTTGGGCTGAAGTTATTTAAAAGTAACAACGTTCAATATTATTTGAAGGTAATTTACATTGGTCTTTGACGTCAATGTGTGCAATTATTGTTGTGTTGAGGTTCTTATTTGGCTTTCACGTTGACTCGTGTTGATGATTCGCCAACGACAGTCGAGAATTTGTTGTCACTTTTCACGTTCAAGATGCTCTCTCTAAAAAAAAATAGATTTGGTTCATTTAGCGGCCTCTAGCGGCTGCGGGGGTCCCAATAGTATCACCGCATACAACATGTACGAATTGGGGGGGGGGGGGGGGAATACTCTTTTATTTAACACGCGATTATTTGCATGTATCGTGAGCTCCCACTGCTGAATGAGGTCCCCACGTGATGTGGTCGTGTGGGTTGTTTGACCACACTAGTCAGTGCGGTTTGGCGAAGATCATACAGTAATTCGTGAATCTCTGCGTCGTTACGCCCCTCCTGTTCGCTACCTTTCCACATCCCCCCCCTCCTCCTCCTCCTAGCCGTGAGTATGGTAAGTGGCGTCGGCCATGATGAGCCTGGATGGCAGTGTCGACCCATCATCATCATCATCCCAGTGATCCCATCGCACCGAAACATGTCCCCCCACCAGTGCAGCCTTTATAATAAAGTCTTGTTGAAGGTGGTGTTAGCGAGCACCTTTCAAGGCCAACACGGTACACTAGGGGGGGTGGTGTGGTCAACAACACGCTCGGCCGCCTTTGTCTCCCCAGTGATACAGTATTTACATTATTTAAGGCTGAGTCGACCAAGGAGATGCAAAGGTCCATCCGTCCAACCTTTAGAAACTCTTGAAGGAGGTGGGGTTAGCGAGCACCTATTAATACCGACACGACACACTAGGGGGGGGGTGGATTTGGTCAACAACACGTTCGGACATCTTTGTCTCCCCAGTGATGCAGAATTTACATTATTTCAGGATGAGACGACCAAGGGGATGTCCAGAACCGGTTCAGATGTGTTAGCCGTGGTTATCGGACGAAGCTGCGAATCGAACCGAGGTTGCTGGGTTAGTAGCGCAGTGCGCGAACCACTATACCACCACCGTGCATCCACACAAGCAGCACATCAAGTGCAGGACGCCTTGCACTTCCCATATCCCCGAGGTATAGAGAGGGAGGAGGCAGGATGATGATGGGCGACTGAACGAATGAGTGAGCGACCCCGTCTGTTAAAGTAAACGACGAGTTAATTGAAAATAATAACTGGGTTTTTTATTCACTGGGTTTTCATTAAGAAGTAGAGGAAAATAACTCCTACTTGAATTGTGTCTACCGTGCGGTGACTGGGATAAGGGAGAGGCTAGAAAGCATTGGCCAGGTGTGGTGGCATTAATGTCTTGGGGCTATGGTGACATATTTACTTCAGTCAAAACGTGTTTTTTTTTGTGTACGTTGACAAGCATGCTATTTTGACTTTATTCTCTTTAACGACTAACAATAAATGTTGTGGTTTATGCGTTATTTTTAATAGATTTCCATGTCAATTAAACAATAAAACATTACCAGAGTACACTCTTATTCAAATTCGTTGTGCGAGTGAAAAAATATATTCTAAAAGTCGGTAGAATGGATAAAAACTAATATTTTGCCCATGGTACACCATGGAAAGCGGAGTAGAGCCAATAATATAATTGTAATGTATGAAAATAGACAAAGGAACGCAAAAGGAAGAGGAAGAATGGAAAGTAAGAGGAAAAGAATAGAAAAAGAACATGAAAACTGGACCAAAGGGTCAGAATAGTTGAGGACAGGGAGGAAGAGGAGCTACAAAAAGTCCTCGACACTGCGTCTGTTTTTACAAGGGGCGGGGAGAGGGGAGGGATTCAGAGTAGGAATGGCCACATCGAAGTAACGTTATTTATGGGAGGCTGGAGCCGATTTAGATATGTTTTCACCTTCCAATATGTTACTTATTGTTACTTATTGCATACAAATTCTGATTCTTTCACTCGTGACGAGGATGTAACATTTTCACTTCATATATTTCTGCCTGGAGTGCAAATTATAAAGGATGTGGATGTAAATCTATACTTCATTAATTTTTTCATGTGGGACAACGTGAATGAGAAAGGAGGATAAAGCTATCCATGGTGACTGTCGTGCAATCACAGCTCTACTCATGTCTACTCTGAAAATGACACACATCACAGAACACCAATGCTCAGGGGTAGATAATGAAAAAAAAATCGCTTTTGTAAAACTGAAACTGGAAGTTGGTAATGAAAATTAAAAATTATATTTGATTCGATTAGGTTGAGTTATTTTTCATACGAATGAATGGAAACCCATTTTACAAAAAGGAAGATCTCGGCATTTTAGCTGTGACATACCTTCAGGAAATATTACATGGGTATTATCAGCGTCATTGCCCATGGCCATCTCACCTTTTTACAGTAATTTACCCTAGCCGTAAACCCGAATATACCCAGAAGAAGCTTCATCAGCAAAGACGTAGAGATTTTTTTCAGTGACTGTAAAAATACTCTGATCTTTTTATTTTCCCCTTTAATTAAAGTGGAGGTGCAAGTGGGTTCATTGAACACACCATGCTTTAGATCCTGGCGACCTGAGTGTGATCCCAGGTCCCTGGAATTATAGCCTAGTTTTGTGTTAATGTAAGTGTTGACACCCAACCTTGCAGATTTCCAAGATGACTGAGAGTTGGCAATATAGCAGGAATGCTATTTACCCACCCATATAGCATGGTTAATTTTAGTTTCCACAAAATTCGTCTGGTTTCTTCTGGCATTCTGAATTCCACACTAAATAATAATGAATTGATCAAACATCTCAATGCAAGACTGTCCTGAATAATATAGTAGTCCCGATACTCATAAGGCTTTTCCAGATAAATAAAGGACATTCATCAGCGGTGGGGAGGTAAAGGCAGCCGGGCGTGCATGTTGCTGACTGCCTGCTTAGCACGCCATACTGCCCTTAATAGGTGCTGCTTAACACTACTTCACCCCCCCATTCCAGGTAGCGTATATGTATATAATATACATAATAACATACAGCTCTTAGTCAATCCACTGCTATATTAAAGGCTCCCCATGCCGTGTAGGTCATTGGGGTTGTTTGACCGAACTTCACACCAGTCATTGCACGTTATTGAAGGGGAGGTCTAGGACCAGTTGATATAATTCACCATAAACTCCAGTCACCTGGTTCATCGTGCAGTGTGCTAACCATTGTATCACTGTCCCCCACCCTATTGAGACAAAAATCTGTTTTTCAAAGCAGACTTGGACCACAAATGAAGAATTGTACAGTACAACAATATTGTTTTTCCATAAAATGATAAACAGAATCACAAAAATGTACACTAAATGTGTAATATATGAAACAACCATCAATTTATATTCTTTGGGTCTTTCGGTAAAGTCACGTAGATAGGTTCAAATGAATAAAAATAAACAAAAAACTACGACGTTTCGATCACAACACAAGCGATCGTCATCAGGAGGAAAACAGAGGGGGAAAAGCTGCTTAAAGCAGACTGTTTTAAAGGTTTAAAATGGGTGTAGCCCAAGGGTCATAAACGAAGTGGGCGGGGCTAGTGATGTTAATGTGAGAAATTAGCATTTTACTGTAAGATCGGAGAGCGGCCTCCACAGCGAGTGCACTGAGGTGGCTATGTTAATGTGAGAGATTAGCATGTTAATGTAAGATCGCAGAGCCGCCGCCGCGTCGAGGTCGGTGCGCGGAGATGGCTGTGTTGGTGTGAGACATGTAACCTGTTAATGTAAAATCAGAAAAAAACAACTAACATCGGAAGGTGGCGGGATAGGAATATCACAGCCAGTTATGACTGAAACTGGTTGATAACGTCCTTCCAATGATTGCTAAGTTTGTGCCCATCTCGGTTGAAATTGTGTCTGTATATATTTGTAAGGACAGTACGGGGTAATGTAGGGACAGTACGGCTCCCCGTGGCCACGGTTACTAATTAACATAACGGGTCACGTTAGGGTAATGTGGGACCTAAGTGGTTGCTAATAATGATTGATGGGCCAAGCGTTGACAGGGTCGTGTGAGGTCGTAAATGCGGTGAGAGAGGGTTCGGGAATAGGGGTGTGGCCGGGTCGTGAGGGGGATAAGAGCTGGCGCGAACCTGGCCGCTGGGCTGCTGTTGTGGGGGAATTGCTGTCACCTCAGAGTGGGTCGTCTTCATTATCCTGGAGTGTGGGCACCTTGCAGTCTGAGAAGGCTCAGAATAGAGCTATCTCAGTTACCCAAGTATATAGAGTCGCTCGCGGTTACTCGTTTAGTTATCAGTGAGTCGGCGGACTTTATTCATAATAAATATACATATAACCGAACAAGACGGTGTCTCTGAGAGCTACATTACATATGGATGGCTTCATGAACGAAACTTTGTTGAGCCAACCGCATTAAAACAATGATTAGCCACGGCCGACGTGTTGGTCTTACCGTGTTTCAAATCTGCCTTATGCTCATGAACAAGAAACGAGACATGTCGCTTACTTTCCCGAATGTAACTACTGCTGCATATAGCTTAGTTTGTAGACGCCAGGGTATTGCATATCGGGGATCCTATCCCTCACAGATGGGATCAGATCACGAATTTTATGTACTGTGTTAAATCGAACCTGGATCTTGTGTTTGCTCATGATTTTGGAAGTCTTTTTGGTGACCCCTGCTATGGATGGCAAGGTGATGGTTTTGATTGGGTCCTCAGATGGTTCTTTCCCAACGGTTGGAGTGATAGCTTTACGGATTGTGTGGTCCGAATATCCATTCATCTTGAGAGCTTGGTGCAGGTGTTTCAGTTCACTGGCTAGGTGATGGTTGGAGATTCATCGAGCTCTATGGTGTAGAGTTTTTATGAGGGAATTCTTCTGGGATGGATGGTGGTGGGAGTCGGGTTTTAGGTAGGCATCCGTAAAGAGTTGCTTTCCTGTAGACAGTGTCCTATTGAGCCATCTATTCTCTTTTCGATTGGAACATCCAAAAATGGTAGCTTGCCATCCTTTTCCACCTCCATGGTGAATTTGATGGCTGGGTGTATGTCATTAATGTGGTTGAGGAATTGGTTCAGAGCTGGTCGGCCATGTGGCCAGATGACGAACGAAGGCAACCCAAATGCTGCTGTCTGTGGAGATGGTCACACCACACCCTTGTGTGCTCTACTGGCTTTAATAAAGTTTTGCTCGCAATATATGCTCCTGTAAACCACTGTAAGGCTTAATTGGGGGATTGTTGTGTTTGGGTGTGCGTCTGGTGGTGGTGGTGGTGCAGGTGCGATGCAGTGCGAGGCGGCGGAGCGCGAGAGGGAGCGGGAGCACGCCGGGATGCTTGTGTGGTCACCCAACCATAACATCCCCGAGCCAAGACGTGAGGCAATGCAAAGAAACACTGGGATATGGGTCGGGGTCTGCATTATAGTCAGGGTTGTGGTGTCATGGAAAGTTTTGGGATCAGTATTATGTTTGGTATCTGGGTTAGGGTCAAGGCTAAGTAAGGTGGTTTAGGATCAGGACTGAGAATGGTTATGTTATGGTCAGGGTCGAGGCCAGGGTGAAGGTCGGTGCTATGTGCAGAATTTCAGTCTGGGTCAGAGTTATGTTGAGGTATTTTGGTCAGAATTAAGTTTATGGTTCGACTTTCAGTCTGGGTTAAGGTCAGTGTTAGGTTGTCAGGGGTTGATTAGGGTTATGGTCAGATTATCAGGTTTTGCCAGGCATTCCCTTGCAGCTGAATGGTTTAAAACAAATGTAAACAATAATTTGAATTTCAACTAATCTTGCTATCTTTTTAGTGGATGAATACATCGCCATTGCCAAGGAGAAGTATGGATACAACATGGAGCAGGTGATTTACTAGATTTTGTTTCATTTCATGAATATTAAAGTTATTTATTCCATTCCATTCACCCAGTTAATGTTGAGCTTTCCTCCTGTTTTTGACCAATAAAGACTTAAGAACTGGTTCTGCACAGCCAAAAAGACTAATCTTGGTTCTCATCTTTACCAATCACTATTGAACTTTGATTTTTCCCATTAGCACAGTTCTGCACCTCTGGTTAACACGGTTGGCTACATATTTTGCAAAGAAGTTCGACATACATACAGCCAACCATGGCAAGGGGTGATAATAATGTCACTTATCCATGAATGCTTATCTGATTGAAGACACTTTCTCATTTTGAATGTCTGCTGTGAAACTGTGTATTCAATTCATTGTGGACCGTTCTTTTGGAGGTATATTAATTGGTTGGATGAGGATTTGGGCGCTTGTTTGGAATATTGATATTCTCCCAAATCTGTAGCCATTTCTGTTCAGGGCTCTGGCTTTGCTGAACAGTGATTTGCTTGATTTTAGACAATGTCTCGGTAGCTTTGTGGTGATTGAAACACATGGTCGGTGCCAGCTGTTGTTGTGCAAACCGTAATGAGGTTACGTTGTGCGTGTCGTGCGGCAGGCTCTGGGGATGCTGTTCTGGCACAAGCACAACATCGAGAAGTCGCTCGCGGACCTGCCCAACTTCACGCCCTTCCCGGACGAGTGGACGGTGGAGGACAAGGTGCTGTTTGAGCAGGCGTTCAGTTTCCACGGGAAGAGCTTCCACCGCATCCAGCAGATGGTAGGAGCGAGAGTGAGCGAACAGTCGTGCGAGTGTGTGGGCCTGCGCAGCACTATCGTTGTTTGCAACACACTCAGGTTCGGGCTGTTTATTAATAGGGTCGCATTCCTTACCCCAGGGACACTACAGAAGCAGTCTTCATTGAAGGAACAATGTATTTACACCGCTGGAAACTCAAAGCATGACTTTCCCAACTCACTGCAGCTGATTGCAATACGATTTCTGCAGAAGTTTTAGGAGTGGCGATGACACAAATAAGAATCTCTTTCTACGCTCTCTGCCCCTTTCCACGCCTGCCTTTTCGGCTCTCCCCCGTCACTTTACATCTCAGCTGCCTGACAAGTCGATCGGCAGCCTGGTGCGGTACTACTACGCGTGGAAAAAGACGCGCACGCGCACCAGTGTCATGGACCGCCAGGCACGCAAGCTGGCCGGCAAGCGTGAGCACGACGAGAGGTGAGTGGAGTCATTTTACTGTACTTCACCATGCTGGTCTTTGCCGGTTGGGGAAGGTGGGGAAGTAACGGACGTCCCCGTGGTTTGGTGAGGCGGCACCGCATGAGATTGGAACGCCAGGGGTCGTTGACGTATGACATATGACCTGCAACGTTGTCTTCACGCAGTGACGAGTCCGATGATGGGAATCGTGCCGAGGGGCGCGAGGGAGACGCGGAGGCGAAGAAAGAGCCGAAGAAGGAGGTAATGAGGGGGAGCTGTAAAAAAACTTTTGCCTGCAGAGTGCTCGATAATTGTAAAAGACTACAGTTTCGTGTGAGTGGTTGGCTGCAATGCACTGCTTTCTGGATGAGTTTCCCATGGCATGCGGATTGTTGGACACGGAGACCACGCTGGTCTGTGTGTTTTTGAAGACTGGGAAGCCCATTGGCCTTTGCTGTCCACATCTCTCTATGAGCACCTATTTTATGCATAGTCATAGCTCATCCAAGCACTCTTCAGGTTCGGCCAGGCTTAGGTGATTTGGTTGTGGAGGATAGCCATGATTGCAATGATGACATTTATATACATTGTCCTTTTATATAAACAAGCAGTTTACATTTGAGGTAATCGTGAACAAATTCTGGGTATTTGCAGTTACGCATGGACGTAGGTTTAATTATTTATTTATGCTATTTTTCAACTTATTTTCAAGTCCTGATATTGATGCTAACAGACCACAAAGTAAAAACAACAATGCTACCAGCTCGGTGCAAGTGGTGTGCAGGAATTGAGTTCTAATTTATCAGCAGGTTTTTTTTATTATTAACGCTTTCAGCTAATGCGTTAAAAAATCAGTGTTGTGTGTATTTTAACACTGTGTGTGTGTGCGCGTGTTTTTTTTGTCACCCCCCCCCCCTTCTGTTCTCTGGCGCTGGTTGTACAGGTGGACGGGCGAGTCGTCGGTCAGCCGCCCCCCAAGGTGCGTGATCTTGCGTTGAAACCATGGGGCCACTTGCGCTCTTATAATTCTGTGATGGTTGTGACTGTTGATAATGATGCATTTTATGGAGAGGGTGTTGACGTTGACAAAAATATTTGATAAAATTGTAGTGATCTGATGACAATGATGGTGACTGTGGTGATGGTGAGGACAATGGGTGGTGACAGTGACTATAATCACAATGGTGAAGATGGTGGCGGTGATGACAATGGTGGCAAATAGTCCCAATGGCGGTGATGTGGAAGAAAACTGTGATGATGAATTGCCATGATGGTGATAACAATGATGCCGGTGACCTCTGATGAAGGTTTTGGTAACAATTCTCGCTGCGTGCAGCCGATGGAGCCTCCGGTGCAGCAACCGAGCCGGGCGGGCCCCATCCGCCGTGAGGGGCAGGGCCCTCAGCACCGGCACCACATGCTGCGCAACAAACGCCGGCCCCCTCGCGGGATGTTCCTCAGCTGGGACGACCTGGTGGTGGTGTCGGCCTGCCCAACGGCCGCCAGCACTGTCCTGCGGCAGCTTGACATGGAGATTGTCTCCCTCAAGAGACAGGTGACGCGCAATCACCTGCACAGCTGGTTTACTCGCCTGCTCGCACGTCTGCCTGTTCGTCCTCTGCCTGTTCGCCCTCCCGCTTCTCAGTGTGCAAGCACCTGTTGGTCTTGATGACGGTAGTTGTGGCGTCTTGTCCTGCAGGTGCAGAGCGCGAAGCAGCAGAGTGGATCTCTGAAGCAGATGCTGGATGGGGGGATCTCAGCTTTTCGGCCCACTGAGGTGAGTCTCAACATAGCATTTAACCCCCTGACAAACCAAACCCCAAACCCACAGAGGTGAGGCTCTTTTCTCTTGCTTTAATCCACAGAGATGAGCGCTGACCCGACCCTATAGGGGTAAGCCTCGACCCTTACCATTGTTACACAAAAGTTAGCCTCCATGTAACAATAACCCACAAACCGAGAATTGAAGCAATCCCTAATGCAGCAAGAAACCTCAACCCCAGCTCAAGCCCAACTCAAACCACTATCGTGAGCCATGTCTGTGACCCTGTCTCCCAGGGCATAGTTCCACGTTTACAGTCACCTGTGTGGCAGGAGGCTTCAAGCTGGAGGGGAGGGGAGTTTGTGAACGCCTCCCTCAATTTATCAGGGTTGTATTGTTGGGTGAGCCCATTCCCAGAGTTAAACATTACAAATAGAAACGTTTTAAGTGTGTGAAAAAAAACTTCGTAAGCTATGTCCATCAACTTGACAAAAGTCATGATGGCTAAAAGAAGCATCTTAAAAAAATATGTGATCCCAGCAGCAAGGCACATTGGTAGCACGCCATGTTTTAAGTGCCTTGTGGGTAGCTCTGCGTTGGTAATCGTTGGTGTGCTGTCACGTGATGCGCATTGCTTTGACATCACAAGTGTCGCTGTGCTGTTTTGCGCAGAGTAATCCACGAGTGAGCGTCCGTTGGTCAACTGAGGAGCAGCTCCTGGCTGTGCAGGGTGAGTAACTGGACAAATAAACAAGGGAGCCTTGGAGGATGGCTTGGGACATTTTTCAAACTGATCATAGGAATCTTTGGTATCTTAGTTGTTATTGCTTGAATGTTCAGGGTCTTTAACATTTAAACAGGTTCTTAGTAAAATGTGCATTTCCATTTACGCATCTTTGGAACTTGCATTAAAAAAAAATCTTATAATTGTAGATAATGTGTGGATGAAGTGTGTGACAAAAAACTTTAAACCATTGAAATCGTTAAGGAGCAAACATCTGCCTCTTACAATTAGACAGGGGTGGGGATCCTATTGGGCCGTAGGCAGTATTTAGCCCAGGCCATCATTAGTGCATGCATCTTAGCCACATTAATTGTGTACTAGAGGGTATTTTTTCTACCTGGCCACACTATTTCGAATTTTAGCTGTCGCTTTTGACAATTTTTGGCACTCTTAACGGCATTTGAAAGTCCTATTCAACCCTCGGTAAGGAAACTGTTCCCCGCCCCTGTCCTTGAAGGGACTGCATTCATTTGCTTACATTTGTTTCGGAGTTGGTTACACGTTTTATTTATGAGGAACAAGGCTAATTTCAGGTCTTGCATATATTTCGCCACCAATTGACATGATCAGGATTCAATCGATAATTACTGGGATTGTAGTCCAGTGGGCTTCTTTTAACCACATGGATTTTACATTGATGACTGCATTATCATGATCATCATTTCCTATCCATTGCGAGCTGAAGGACTCCGCTAAGCTATCGCCATTTCACATGGTCCTGCGATGCCACAATTAATCTCACTTCATGTGTGATGATCTTATCACTCCCATATTAAACATGGGATACCTCCTTTGGCAGATATTACCATACCAGTATGATCCATCGGCCATCTTACCCAAGCCCACCTTATGTCAATATGGTGTATTTGATTTGCAGATGTTCCATGATTTAACTGTTCCTTTTTCAGTCACTCCATTTAGTTCTAGGTTTGTGTCTTTCCCAGCTTCTTTGCGCCCATGTATATGGTGCATATGTAGCTGGCAGTATGCACTCACTAAATGTTTCACTTTTAACATGTGAAAACTATACACTCCCACAACAAAACAACCACCGTAGGAATTCGCCGCTACGGCCGGGATTTCCAAGCGATTGCGGACGTGCTGGGCACCAAGACCGTGGCGCAGATCCGCAACTTCTTCGTCAGCTACCGTCGCCGCTTTAACCTGGAGGAGGTGCTGCAGGAGTGGGAGGCGGAGCAGGGAGTCACGGGCGGGGGAGCGGGTGCTGGCGGGGCCAGCGGTGGCGGTGTAGCCTCGGGCGATGGCGACAGCAGCTGCAAGAGCTCCTCCAACGCATCGTCCGGCAAAAACTCGGATGATGAGGAGAATGACGAGGTGAGGCCTGGTGATAGTAGACCCGTAATAACCCATGCTGATGTTGCTGTTCATGCTATTTACACTACACGTTGCTACACTGTTAACATTGCTATTGACTTAAAGCTTTCGTGACTGCAGGGATTCATATTCTTAGTTCTTTCGGTAAAGTCACGTAGAAGGGAAACAATAAAATACAAATTTTATTGTTTCCCTTCTATTGACCTTACCATTAATACTTCATACCCGAGGCGACACCAAAGGACTAGCTTACCGGTGGCCCATCGATGGCCTACCTCCCATTAATAACATTCCAGTCTTAACATTACTACACTGACCATTACTATTTTGTTTGCATATTGACTGCTTGTGTTGTGGTTATTGCAAACATGATGCCTTGAATAAAGGTGTCAGTTTTTGTGCCAGTTAAAAGGGTAAAACCTATTACTATACGATTCATGTATATATATCTAAGTGTACTGCTCTTTTATCATTCTGCTGCTGGATGAGGATCTCCTCATGCCGCGTAGGTCTCGGTTTATTTGACCATACATCACCGTGCGGTCGGTGCGAGTTGTTGAAGGTGGGCACCATTATTTAGGGACATAGAAGGACTGTACAGCAATGGATTTAACTGCACTACCTTCAGGTGTGCACCAAGTAGGCCTGCGCACCCTATGACAATTTGTTTGTGCATGGTGGTCACCCGTCCAAGTGCCACCTCAGTTTATAATTAGATTGGGCGCATTCTGGGTGATTTGGTTGTAGGCACTATTCTTCATACTATTGCACTGTTAACAGTACTATGCTGTAAACAATAACATTCTTGTATTGTTAACGTATTACTCAGTTGGCAAACAGCATTGCCCCCTTACATGAAATTTAGCAGGAACCTCCTTAAAAATGAGTTTAGAAACTGAAATGAAACGAAGCTGTTCCAAGTTGGGTTTGTCAAGTAAATAACCAACAAATCTTATCCCCTGTCCCCATATGTACAACAAAAGTTTTAAACTTCGTTCATGGGAAAAAAAGACTTAAACAAATCGCAAGTGTAAGGAATATTGACGTCACTTCCATATGTTTTAATACAAGATCTATCGTGAGATTGTCTTTATTTTTTCTCATTAACAAAGCTTTCTTTTTTTGGGTAGTCCAGAATACACAGCATAGGCAAATAATCACAAGAAAAGTATATTTTGTATTGCATACTTGAGTACTTAAGACTATGAGAATAGGTTTTCCCCTTTTTTCTGGCAACAAAACAGGTGTTAAGATGTTAATACACCAAACTGAAACCTTTTACAAGGAATCATGTCTGCATTAACCACTACTTGTGGTCAGAATGCAAACAAAACACTAATATATGCATTGTCCTTGAAACTGATTGGTCCACACCAGAGACCGCTTTCTTTTTAGCTCGTCTCAAAACGGTGTTAGGCCAGAAGATGCCAAATGGCGTACACCAATCCATTTCAAAGACAATGCATATATTATCAGTGTTTTTTGTTTGCATTCTGACCACAAGTATTGTGGTTAATGTAGACATGATTCCTTGTTAAAGGTTTCATCTTGGTGTATTAACATCTTTACATCTGTTTTGTTGCCATAAAAAAAGGGGAAAACCTATTCTCATTTGGTACTGGCAAAGGAGGCACAGAGAGCAGTGGTGAATGGATGCCCATGCCGTTGTCTCGCGCACAGGTGCAGCCCATGGACGTGAGCCACACAGCTGCAGCGGTGACGACAGAGCACCCGGGCTCGGGTTCCCTGTTGCACCCGCCACCCCCACTCCTGCGGCCACCGCTGCCCTCGTCCGCGCCGCCGCTGCACCGCCAGCCGCCCCCGCTGCAGCCTCAGCGCCCCGGCCCCGGCGCCGTGTTGGCACGCCCGGCCACGCAACCGCCCCCGTTGATCCGGCCCGCGCCAGGTGCTCCCCCACGTCTCAACCCGCGACCACCGGGCTCGGCGCTTGCGCAGCTCCCGTCGCTCGTGCAGGGCGGTGGCGGTGTTGGTGGTGGCAGCACCGGCGAAGCAGGGACCCCATCCTCGCATTGAAGAATGGCGCTCACTACCCCCCCCCCCCCCGTCTTCCTTCCCGCCAGCTCTTCCCTGTTGTCCACCACCTCTTATTTTTCTAACGTCACCAAAAGTACTCACCCGCTTCCTGATACGGGTGCACCACAGGGAAACAAACGTCAGTGGTTTAATCTCTGCATTTCGCTTTGCCAGGTTTTTCTCAATATGATGATGCTAAAGGTGCGTGAGCACCTGCTTTAGACAGTGGCACTCATCCGCAGTCAGCATGCGCTAGTTTACATCTTGTTGGTCAGTGGCAGTCGAGCTTGCAGCTGTGCTGTAATCTGCCCGCATGTGCGTGCGCGTTAAGATCGGAGGAGAGCCCTTTGCGTTTGTTTCAAAGAATGGGGAAAAAAATGGCAGTGCAGTAAATGCGGGCGTGGGTAGCTCGACTAGCCACGTGATAATTGTACCATCCTCACCCCTTTGATCCGGCCACCACCCCACAGCCATGTCAAGCAAGAGCCAAAAAGTTCCAACCGTTTCCAAAGAAATAGCCAATCGTGTGACCTTTGATCCTCGGTGTCACCCTGCGACTCGTTGCGCCTCACTTTACCTGCTTCATCTTGACTTTGTTTTTGGTTGTGACGAGACGAGCGTCAGTCGACAGGTACCGTGTCCTCCCCCTTGCTTCCAACATTTGTGGTGTCGCTCGGTGCATTTGCTGTGCTTGCTTACGGTCTGGTGCTACTCTTGAAAATATATTTAAAAAAATTAGAACGAAGAGAATGATTAAAGACACACTAAAACGTGCGTGTGGTATCTATGGTCATAATGCATTATGACTCCCCCATTTGCATGCGCACTGGACCTGCGCACATTGTTACCTTTAATTCTCAATGATAGCATGTGCAGTGAAGAAGAGTTGACACTTTTTTTCCTCCATGTATAGTGATGGAATGGCATTAACAGAGTTTTGCTGGAGCTGGTTTTTAGTTGCACAGGATACAAAAAGCTTGTTTTTAGGCGCCGAAAGACTGAACTGGGCCGAAGTTGGGTTTTCCTTGGGTGACGTCTGCTAACCCTGAGCCTGGCAGTCCATGGGCCAGTTGCAGAAATTAGTGGCACTTGAAGTGGAGAAACCCTTTTTCTATTCTAAACTTGGGGCAGAGCATTACAGACTTGTATGATACGTTGAACTTCTTTTGCACCGTACGTAGCCAACCGTGCTAATCGGAGGTTGTAGAGTTTGACCCACGGAAGGAGAGAATTTATTTTGAGAATCCTTCAGCGAACCTTTTTGTTTATCCACGAGAGAGTGCACGTTCAAATGCTCGATTGCAGAGAAATGTTCAGTCATGTGGCAGTCGAAATAAGTTGAGTTGAAACCACTTCACTACCTTGGTACCAATTTATTTTTATGGCTGTTAAAAAAAAATTGTTTATAAATTTTCACTGATTTTAAAAAAAATCTTTAGTACTAAATGGTGGTACTGACAAGTCAAATACTTGGTCTGGGCCCTTGAACACCAGACCAGATTCTGCCCAAAACAGGAATGAGGACATGTAGAATGAGATGGTCCTGTGAACAAGCGTCACTGAGTCATGGTCAATTGGAGGAAAGCGTCAGTGGCAACATCATGCACCCTGCCTGGAACGTGTTGGAATATAATTATTTTTTGCCCATGCTAAAGTTTATGAACTGGTGAAATGAAGTCTGGAAGCGAGACACACCCAAATGAATTAATTAATGGGAAGTTCTCGCGGGGTAACCATTGGAATAAAATCAATGATCGTGCATTTTAAATGGACATCGGAGACAGTGCTGTCTGCTGTGTGTTCAGTGTGAGCATGTTTACATGCACAAAGTTCATCTGACCTCATTGGTTTTGGTGTGGGTAATACGTAAAAACACAGAGCAGACTGCCTGCATTATCTTTTGGCAGGAGTGATGGTTAGTGGCAGGTAGGTGGTCTTATGTAAATACAGTAATAATAATGTTAAAATAATTTAATGGACGATAACACGAGAACATCTACTGAAGTTCCTACAACGTTTACATTGCACAGTGACCGTTGAATTTGGATTTGACTTGTTCTACAGGCTTCCAATGTTTTTTCTTCTGTATTTGACAAAACATGTTCGTATATGACTTGTAGTTATGTTTCCAGTGTGGGCTGTTAAGGTTGTGATTTTTTTTAAACGTTTATATCTGTGTACAGTATTGAGGGGTTGTCGAATGATTTTAGCAGACACTCGCCATTTATTGAGCCCCCACGTGGTTCCATAATTTGTCATAAAATCAGCGTCGCTTTTGGCTCCAAATTTTTGTTACATTTTTATCATTGTAGCGCCTCTAGTGGCTGCAGCGGTCATGAAATTATTACAGCATCCTTAATACAGTTTTTTTTAAGGTTGGAGCGCGTAAATATAAATGTGTCGTTATACCGGCTACTACCCGACACAGCCAATTAGTAAGGTTTGTCACGTAAACAGAACATGCCAGTACATTTGTAACTAGTACTTTTGTAACGAATTGGCATGTTCTGTTTGCGTGACAAACCTTACCAATTGGCTGTGTCGGGTTGTGGCCGGTTTAACGACATTTATATATTAACGCGATCTAACCCAAGAAAACCCTGAAGTGGATATTGGTCGCAAAAGCCCATGTGTTAACGTTATTACAGAATAAATGAAATGACGGGATTTTCACATGCACATTTTTTTTTCTTGAGCATAATCTACAATGACACATCTTGAAGCCATCAGAGGCTTTTCTGGTAGTTGTGGTGATAGGTGTGGCATAGTGCAAATAAAAAGTACCAATTTGCTGGTATTACGTAATTAACACTCACATTTAATTAAAACGGCATTACCTGGAACTAATCGTGAAACAGTTTTAAATTTTAAGACTTTACAATTTGAAGCATGAGCTAGAAGTCTCTGATAGGGTTGTAAATGTAAACCTTCTTGCAGTATGTACTGTTCAGTATATAGAAAGTGCCTACATTTACAATAATGTTCTAATATAATTCACAGTACATTCATTTGTAATATAAATACCCAGAAAATATATTTAACAATGTATACACTCTTATAGCAAACAGTAATTGCCATAATGAAGTAAATGTATGCTGGCTTATCCTAAATTGTTGCCTATTCCTGTCCGGTTTTGAGAGGTTTTGCTCAACAGTACTTTAATGTGTCGTTACATGCCTAATGTTAAAGTTACACTGACCAAAATTTTTGGCATTTTCATAGTTTTAAGCAAAACCATTGTACAAATAAAAAATATCCCCATTGAAAAAAAAAATGAACCATTATTGATCTCCATTGGTGATCCTGGGACAGTCTTGGAAATTCACCGTTCTTATGACACGGGCCATGTCACGTCATGGGAGAATTACTTTTATTTCCACGCGTTCAGTGGTGGAGCTTCACAGAAAAGGTGGTAGGTACTACGTCTCTGGAAGAAAAGTGACAACTATGATGGTAGTCGAGCCAAGTAGTTGACTCAAGCCAAGATTTGAACTCGTGCGGTAATGTTTGAGTGACTTGGGTACATCAGTTGAGTTGTAGCCAGGCCTTTCGGACTTTACCATTTAAGTATACCTTAATATCTCGGCAACTGTGAAGTGACTTGAAAAAAAATGAAGCCAGATCTGTCTATCCTTTGCTGTTTACAACACGTATGTCATTGACAGCCCTCATAAGTATTGTTTGACATCCGCTATATATACCCACATACATTAATTTTAAATATTATAAAATGTTTGATATCTTGAGGTTTTGTGTAACTGTTTTTGTGCATGCTGACGGTGTGTTAACCTCGTATTACCACGCTCGTTATTTAGACTATGATTGGAATAACTGCGTAGGGAGCACACACTTGTGATATTAAATTAGCGCAGTGTGGAGTGGCTTTAGTTGAAGGGGTTATAATTAGCATTAGATTTATAAAAAATATATATTAGGACTTGATGTCACCCATTGAGCCATGCCTATAAGTTGGGATGTTTTGACTTATATCAATGCTGTTAGGAAGAATATACTAAACAGGTAGCAATGATGTGATGCTAACGTAGACGATGATTTACACTGGGGTGTCTTTTATATGGAATTGCATAATCTTAATTAAACGCCCTTTTTGGAATTTTGTGTGCTTTGGTTTCGTGTGTTCGCTGTACTGAGAAGCCGTTTTCCCTAAGTTTATTGGCAGTCATCAGTCAACACGTGGCGAGTGTTGAGACCACAACGTGTTTTAAGGGAGCCATGAATTAAAACACGGGCACACAAAGGCATAGAACAGCGATCCGGTAATGTTGAGGGTCTTCACGATTCACCTCCGGCGATGCAATAAAACTCAATGCAGGGTCGCTTATTGACATCAGGATTTTATTTTCGTAGCAGTGAATGGTAGCGCCTCTAGTGGCTGCAGGGATCCTGTGAACCAGTTTACAATAAATCTAACAACACTTGTTTTGTACGCAAAACTGAGCACGTCCGTCATTAACACTGCCTTTAAAGGAAAAAAAATATGTATCAGGTGGCGCTTTAGGCAATGGTTCTTCATAGAAACACGTATTGCTGGCCCATGCTATGAAGGACCGTTGCTGAAGTCGCCTAATTTTTTTTCTTTTAAGGCAGTGTTATTGACGAAACGATTTGGAGTTGTTCGTTCTGTGCTCGTGCAACCACTGCCTGTGCATTATCACCAAACGGCATTCTTAAATAAGTGCTTGGATGCAAGCGTCGTGGGCTTCGTCGATAGGAATTAATGCATTCGTCCACACCTATAATAGACCACGCTTACCAAATCTCCATAGGCGGTCCTAGTGATAACATCAGCAGCAGCAGCTTGGTTACAGTGTTGGGTTTACACGTGGGGGTATTTCGGGTTATGCAGTATTGAGAAGATGGTGGCCTTGGGGGGGGGGGGGGCAAAGCTTTCCGCAAGCTCGAAATTTGAGACGCTTTCGTTGCTGTCCAAACCACGTTGCCTTGGGGGAGGGGGGGATCTAAAGAAGCAGACAAACGAGTAGTTTGGCTTCATTGTTCTCGAGAGTCATGCTCAATCCACTGCCGGATGAAGACCTTCCTGTGTCATTGCCAATCACGGGTGTCAATCCATCTCCCTTCTGCGTGCAAGCTCATCTCATCGTTCCATCTCTGCGGCGGTCGTACTCTTGGTTGTTTTGATTCCTCTTTTGTTTGCCATTCCGTCACCAGTCTCATCCGTGGGTCATCCCTTCTAGGAACACGCATTGCCTAAGCCTACGTTTCTAAAGTCAATACGATGTATCATTTGTGTATTTTCGGTAATACTTGTGTTAATCTCTCTCAATCTGATTTTCAGTATGCACCTGCAGGTTTCCCGGTGCGTGTTGAAGCTTTTTGCGCCATTTGACTTCGCGGTTTCCATATTGCCTCTCCACATTTCACAGCAGGCAACATGCACGGATAGAAAACACCATAGCAAGGCACACCGGTGTGTTGCATTTGATCAAATAACATTTTCCAAAAAGCACTTGCATCTAGTCTGGCTCTCCTATGTATGGTGTACGTACGTACGCACGTGCTTCCCAGCGGCGGCCTCGAAACACACCGTCAAATGTTCAGCAAACTGGCACGTTCGTTTCTCCTACATTTATCTTGATATACTGTATATTGAAATCACGGTCGCTCACCACACACACACACCCAAGACGCCAAGCGGCCAGAAACAAACTGCACAAATGAAAGTTGTGGTCAGAGGTTATGTGATGCCACGACTGCACAGCTGCCAGTGAAGATGCCAATACTCAACATTCGCCCGGACAGGTCACGGGACACCCAGCAGGTGCCATGGGTCGGCTGACCGAGATGACTGGCAGATGCTACCAGCTGTACCTCCTTACTGTGCCAATTTGCTGTATTTTTTGCCGCACGGCGTTGCCGATGGTTGTTGTGAGCGTCGCTTCTCTGCCCTCCGTTGTTGCCGGAGAGCGACTGCCTCAAACTGCCCGGTAACAGCGTCCTTCACGAGCATCCTCCCTCCCACAGAGGTCGATCTTGCATCACCGATGGTACCAGTGGAGATGCTACCCTCTCCATCACACACAAACACTTCGTGCACCCACTACACTCAGCCGACATCAGACCTCTCCACTCGAGGTTTTTTTTTTCTCAGTGGGATTATTGGCACAGTCTGATGTACAGCGGTGGCGGAGGTGCGAGGAGCGGCCAGCCCCTGTGACAAACGTGGAATGATCCCCTGGGGGGCCCGAGCCGCTACGTGTAATGCAGTGCATAGACAGCGTCGGGACAAACGATGTCAAAGGGGGGAGTAGTGAGTGAGGAAGCTGGTGTAGCCTTTGCAACAGTTTAAAGGAGGCACCGCCAATCGTGGGGAGCGGGGAAGCCGGAGATTGGGTGTCTACAAATATGCCCCCCCCCCAAAAGGGAAATGTCCACGATTTCTCTCCGTCCCTATATCTCCATGCCTCACCGTGTCTCTATGTATCCATGTCTCATTCTGTATTTGCCCATCGTTTTGTCTGTGTTCTTTGCGTATCTCATCTCGTGTGAGAGCGTCCCCACGTGGTACAAAATGAGAGGGCCCCCACGTGGTTCAGGTGAGAGCGCCCCCACGTGGTTCAAAATGAGAGCGCCCCCACGTGGTTCAAAATGAGAGGGTCCCCACGTGGTTCACGTAAGAGCGCCCCCACGTGGTTCAAAATGAGGGCTCCCACGTGGTTCAAAATGAGAGCGCCCCCACGTGGTTCAAAATGAGAGGGCTTCCACGTGGTTCAGGTAAGAGCGCCCCCACGTGGTTCAAAATGAGAGGGTCCCCACGTGGTTCAGGTAAGAGCGCCCCCACGTGGTTCAAAATGAGAGCGCCCCCACGTGGTTCAAAATGAGAGCGCCCCCACGTGGTTCACGTAAGAGCGCCCCCACGTGGTTCAAAATGAGAGGGTCCCCACGTGGTTCACGTAAGAGCGCCCCCATGTGGTTCAAAATGAGAGGGCCCCCACGTGGTTCACGTTAGAGCGCCCCCACGTGGTTCAAAATGAGAGGGCTCCCACGTGGTTCAGGTAAGAGCGCCCCCACGTGGTTCAAAATGAGAGGGCCCCCTACGTGGTTCAGGTAAGAGCGCCCCCACGTGGTTCAAAATGAGAGGGCCCCCAGGTGGTTCACGTAAGAGCGCCCCCACGTGGTTCAAAATGAGAGGGTCCCCACGTGGTTCACGTTAGAGCGCCCCCACGTGGTTCAAAATGAGAGGGCCCCCTACGTGGTTCAGGTAAGAGCGCCCCCACGTGGTTCAGGGGAGAGCGCTCACAGGCGGTTGAGATGAGAGCGCCCCTACGTGGCTCAAGTGAGAGCGCCCCCCACGGAGTTCAGGTAAGAGCGCCCCCACGTGGTTCAGGGGAGAGCGCTTCAACATAGTTCATTCAAGAGCGCCTCCACGTGGTTGAGGGGAGAGCGCACCCAGGATGTTGCGGTGAGAGCGCCCCCACGTGGTTCACGTTGAAGTTAGTTTCACTTTGGGATGCTCACCCATTAGCGCGGCCCACAAGGGAGTTGTTTAAGGTCAGGCAACAGGAAGCAGAGACACAGACGTCAAGAAACCCGAAGATGTCGGAGGGGTTGACCACAGCGACGAGCAGACAGGCAAGAGAGTGAGGCACGCAAGGAGTTGGACACGAAAAGAGCAACGCACGAAGACATCGACAGGTACACGCGGAGACGCACGCAGATCGACACAGGGCCACATCGAATGCGGAGCTCGAGACGAAGACACAGAGACACAAAGACGCAGAGACGGTCGCAGACGTACACGTGAACACGAGAGTCACGTACACAAACACTCACACACGGACAGAGACGGCGAAAGCGAGACAGGACGGAAGAATACAAAAGTAGATTTTAACGCAGCTCACGAGTCGAGCACTCACACCCAGCGCGCATCACCACGGGCAGTGAGTTCACTTACACGACTCTAATTAAGCAAACGGCAATCCTAAATTTAAAAAAACCCGACAGTATTGAAATTCACCGGGGCTTTCGTGGGCAAGTTATTGGTCATTGTGGGTCCGACTGCAGTTTGCTTTGCGTCATGTGGCTGATCACTCACACAAGAGCGAGCGGGTGAACTCATCCAGTCCCACACGATGCACAGCGATCTCACCTGCACTCCCTCTCACCTGCACACTCCCTCTCACCTGCACACTCCCTCTCACCTGCACTCTCTCTCACCTGCACTCTCTCCCTCACCTGCACTCTCCCTCACCTGCACTCTCTCCCTCACCTTCACTCTCTCACTCACCTGCACTCTCCCTCACCTGCACTCCCTCTCACCTGCACTCTCCCTCACCTGCACTCCCTCCCTCACCTGCACTCTATCTCACCTGCACTCTCTCTCACCTGCACTCTCCCTCACCTGCACTCTCCCTCACCTGCACCCTCCCTCACCTGCACTCCCTCTCACCTGCACTGTCTCTCACCTGCACTCTCCCTCACCTGCACTCTCTCTCACCTGCACCCTCACCTGCACTCCCTCTCACCTGCACTCTCCCTCACCTGCACTCCCTCCCTCACCTGCACTCTCTCTCACCTGCACTCCCTCTCTCCTGCACTCTCTCACCTGCACTCTCTCACCTGCACTCTCTCCTGCACTCTCCCTCACCTGCACTCTCTCCCTCACCTGCACTCTCCCTCACCTGCACTCTCCCTCACCTGCACTCTCTCTCATCTGCACTGTCTCTCACCTGCACTGTCTCTTACCTGCACACTCCTTCTCACCTGCACTCTCTCTCACCTGCACTCTCACCTGCACACACTCTCACCTGCACTCTCCCTCACCTGCACTCTCTCTCACCTGCACTCCCTCTCCTGCACTCTCTCCTGCACTCTCTCCCTCACCTGCACTCTCCCTCACCTGCACTCTCCCTCACCTGCACTCTCCCTCACCTGCACTCTCTCTCACCTGCACTCTCTCTCTCTCACCTGCACTCTCTCTCTCACCTGCACTCTCTCTCTCACCTGCACTCTCTCTCTCTCACCTGCACTCTCTCTCTCTCCTGCACTCTCTCCCTCACCTGCACTCCCTCCCTCACCTGCACCCTCCCTCACCTGCACTCTCCCTCACCTGCACTCTCCCTCACCTGCACTCCCTCCCTCACCTGCACTCTCTCTCACCTGCACTCTCCCTCACCTGCACTCTCCCTCACCTGCACTCTCTCTCTCTCACCTGCACTCTCTCTCTCACCTGCACTCTCTCTCTCTCACCTGCACTCTCTCTCTCACCTGCTCGCCTGTACTGACCAGTCGAGGTGAGTTTGCGTTACCGTTGAGATTCAGTGGTGGATGGAGGGGTTCTTAGAAATGATATTGTATCCCCTTCCTTCCCCATCGCCCTTCAATGTATAAGATCCTTGTAACGTGACAGAAAAGATGTACAGGGTGCTTCAAGACAATTTTAACACTTCTGAGAATTTTAAAAAAATAACACGAGAAATGTGCCTCCGGGCTCTGGAGAGGTTTCCGGGTGTGTGTTGACAACGATGGCGAACAAGTAGAGACTCTTTGACTTTTTGAAGCTATTAACATACATTTGTTGTCATGTTACAGTGTATTAACCGTATTTTTTTTAATTAAAAACCATAATCCCGTATAAGTGTAAAACACTTTTTAAGCACCCTGTATATTTACACGATCTAACCCAAAAAACCCCCTATATTATGGATGATATTCGTCGCGAAAGCCTACGTGTTAAACAGAAAAAAATATCGACAAGATATATAGGTGTGGTTATATAAGAAAAAAATCCGATTAGCACGGTTGGCTACGTACGGTGAGAAAGAAGTCCAACATACGATACAAATATTCGAATGCGAATCTATTCAGACTGGAAGAATCCGATGAGCTGTGAAGCTCTTTATCATGGACGTCCAGCATATGGGGGGGTCACCAAGACAAATGTCGACAAACGTAGAGAGATGTTGCTGCAAGTGATGTTAGAGAAGAGATGGCAGGCGAGACGGAGATGAGGGTGGATCAGTTGGGCCCCTTAAACATGTGGGCCCCTTAAACATGTACGGATCAGTTGGGCCCCTTAAACATGTAAGCCCCTTAAACATGTACGGATGAGTTGGGCCCCTTAAACATGTGGACCCCTTAAACATGTATGTACGCCCCTTAAACATGTACGGATCAGTTGGGCCCCTTAAACATGTGGGCCCCTTAAACATGTATGCCCCTTAAACATGTACGGATCAGTTGGGCCCCTTAAACATGTACGGATCAGTTGGGCCCCTTAAACATGTAAGCCCCTTAAACATGTGGGCCCCTTAAACATGTGGACCCCTTAAACATGTATGCCCCTTAAACATGTACGCCCCTTAAACATGTACGGATGAGTTGGGCCCCTTAAACATGTGGGCCCCTTAAACATGTACGGATCAGTTTGGTCCCTTACACATGTATGCCCCTTAAACATTTGTTGCTGCGCAATCCACGACTCGGAGGCAGATTGCGGTTAGGGGCTTACGCCACGTTTATTAAAGGGCTTACGCCAAAGTGTGTTAGGGGCTTACGCCACCAACCCACCCCCCTAGCCGATAACTCCCCAGGGGACAGGGGTACCAGGATCCCTACAACCCCAACCTCGGCCGGTAGGGCGGAGTGGCCTCCCCTAGCCTCGGGTGAGGATCAGCCCCCCCCCCCCCACTGAGTCCCCACTCCTACCCCCGACGACGACCCCTGTTACATCCCGGGGTCCCCCCTTTAAATACCCCCACTGGGGCATGACGTCACCGTCCCCCCCAGAGTCCGCGTGACGTCACGTTCTGCGACTCCACTCTCTCCGAGGGCGAGCGTGACGTGACGTCACCCACGACTCCGCCCTCCACATGCTATGCCCCGTAAACACGTGCGGTAATTGTGAGACATTTGATGAACCCCGAGAGATTGTTTCGTTACGCGGCCTCCTTCCTCCCGCTTTGAGCTAATTGTAACCCTGGACGTCTCCTTGCTCGCCGTTGTGCCGACGATGTCATCATCGCCACTGCCGTGATTTACACTTACACAAGGTTGCCAATGCAACAAGCGCAGCGCGCTGCCCCTTGGCATCACGACGGTGTCTCTGTACAGTCCACATTGCTCTCCCTAGTCTACAACCACGCACAGCAACGCCACGACGGCCCCCTTGGTCAATGCCCCGCTGCACGAAACGGCGTCGCTCGTGCAGGGCGGTGCTCCGCTCGCATCGAGGGTGGCGCCGTCCCATGGATGGGATGGAGATGTCCAGGTTGAGGAGGAGGAGGAGTTGGGGGGGGGGGACCCCACTGGCTTGTCCGGTGACTTGGCCCCACGAGACGACAACACACGGAGTGGGGGGTGGTGGTGCGGGGAGGGAGATTTTGCGCTGTGTCGACGCCCTTGTCTGCCTGTCCGCAGCCTGCCGGGGACTTCCCCCGGCACGCCGCGGTTCCCTCTCCCCCACACCGATGACGACCATCACCACCCCACACCGATCACGACCATCACCACCCCACACCGATCACGACCATCACCCCACACCGATGACGACCATCATCACCCCACACCGATCACGACCATCACCCCACACCGATCACGACCATCATCACCCCACACCGATCACGACCATCATCACCCCACACCGATGACGACCATCATCACCCCACACCGATGACGACCATCATCACCCCACACCGATCACGACCATCATCACCCCACACCGATCACGACCACCACCCCACACCGATCACGACCATCACCCCACACCGATCACGACCATCATCACCCCACACCGATGACGACCATCATCACCCCACACCGATCACGACCATCACCCCACACCGATGACGACCATCACCACCCCACACCGATCACGACCATCATCACCCCACACCGATCACGACCATCATCACCCCACACCGATGACGACCATCATCACCCCACACCGATGACGACCATCATCACCCCACACCGATCACGACCATCATCACCCCACACCGATCACGACCACCACCCCACACCGATCACGACCATCACCCCACACCGATCACGACCACCACCCCACACCGATGACGACCATCATCACCCCACACCGAACCCCGACGCAACGCGCAACCCACCCGCGGTCTCATGGAATTTGTGCCAAAAACATCCCCGCGTCAAGTGTCAGGCGGGCAGCAGCAGGTAGCAAGCAGCAGTAGTCAGCAGGCAGCAGTAGTCAGCAGGCAGCAGCAGCAGGCGAAGATCCCTGCTAAGGACAACTTTGCTGTGCTGCGTTTGTGAGTTTCTCTCTCCTCTCTCTCTCGCTTCGGGATTAAGTCGTGTGGAAGGGCATTGCCGGTACTTGAAAGGCGTTTTGTTGAGCAATGTATAGAAGTGTAAACCGTACACAGTACTGTATATACGCGGATCACAGTGCCACTTGTTGAAAATGTAAATATAACAAATATAAAAACGGGACACAGGCCAAGCCACGCTTGCTCAGTTCCTTAAACAAATAATGAATGAATTGCGAATGTTTCGGAATGCTGATGATGTGACGTCAACGTGTGAAACAAACCTTGGAATGTGCAACGTTGGTCTCGATGTGTCCGTGTTGTATTGCGTAACAACAACAAAAAACCCCCACCGCCGCTGGGGATACAAAGGCGGCCGGGGCCCCTCGTCTGCCACGGTGCCGGCCTTCATAGGTGGCTCGCTCACGAACAGCACTTGCCCCAAAAGTTTGTTAGAGGCTACACGGGGGGTCTTTGTCTTTGTGTTGTGTAATGACCACGTGGCATGTGAACTGAACGACCACGTGGATGTTCCCGAGCGAGTTCGCGTGCGTCATGCAAATCATGTCCAATATAAATAAGTAATATTACATTTTTTTAAAACACGCTTTAATTAAATGTACCGTACTAGTAATGGAAGAACTCCACGACTCCAGGAAGTGGCCCCGAAGCTTGCCATAAAGTAAGGGACCCTGGTCATTTACAGCGAAACGTGAGTTGAGCGTGGACAATTAGACCCAAGCCGAAACATAACATATAAAAAATAATGTTTAGAAATATGTACTTTTTATTTTTTATGATAGAATATAGTATTGTCATCAGTATGACATAAGTATACCAAGTTTGCAGTCGATACCACATTGGAAAGTGGGTTAAAATTGAGTTACAAGATTTGAGGATACAACAACAGTGAGTTAAATAAAAGCGTGTAAAAAAACGCGTAATCTATGCTATTATTATTATCTGTTTAGGTCAGTTAACACCTTATCATATGTTTTCATGACATTGTTTCACGTAATACAGTGCTAGCCAGTCCTTAAATATTCTTCTTCTTTCGTATGGCTGATGTAGATGCAGAGCAACGGCTACACTATCAAATTCAGTCCATATAGTTAAACAATGTTCATCCTAACTATACTCTTTGGTTCTTTCGGTAAAGTCACGTAGGTATAAAATAAATCGCGACGTTTCGGGCGCAACACAAGCGTCCGTCATCAGGTGGGAAAGCATGGTCTGCTGCTGAGGCAGACTGTTTTAAAAGGTTTGAAATGGGTGTAGCTCAAGGGTCATAAAGTAGTGGCCGGGGCTAGTGATGTTAATGTGAGAAATTAGCATGATGTTAACGTGAGAAATTAGAGGGCTCGAAAGTGGATATGCGAATGTGAGATTAGCATGATGTCAATGTGAGAAATTAGAGGGCACGGAAGTGGCTATGTTAATGGGAGAGATTATCATGATGTTAATGTGAGAAATTAGAGGGCACGGAAGTGGCTATGTTAATGTGAGAGACTAGCATGATGTTAATGTGAGAAATTAGAGGGCACGGAAGTGGCTATGTTAATGTGAGAAATTAGCATGGTGTTAACGTGAGAAATTAGAGGGCATGGAATTGGCTATGTTAATGTGATAGACTAGCATGATGTTAATGTGAGAAATTAGAGGGCACGGAAGTGGCTATGTTAATGTGAGAGACTAGCATGATGTTAATGTGAGAAATTAGAGGGCATGGAATTGGCTATGTTAATGTGAGAGACTAGCATGATGTTAATGTGAGAAATTAGCATGATGTTAATGTGATAGATTAGCATGTAACTGTAAGATAGGAGTAGAGCGGCTTCCTCGACGAGGGAGTGCAATCCAAAGGACATGTGAGCATGAGAGTGCAATGCAACGAACATGTGAGCATGAGAGATCTAAGAGAGAGGCATAGAGAGAGAGACAGAGAGTCGGAAATAACAGCTGACATAGGCAGGTAGGATGGAAACATCAGTCAGTTAAGACTTTACCTGGTTAATAACGTCCTTCCAATGATTGCTCAGTTACACTGTGAGCTCCCGTTCCCCATTCCAAGGTTACGTATCATCCTTGCCATTCTTTACATCAACACGAAGGACTTACACGAAGGACGTAATGACGCCACAGCTCCTGCAATATCGGTGACGACACACACCTGGTAATCGTGGCGGTGATTATGAAACATTCTTGACCAACCCAGGTGTTTCCAATTAAATACACAAAAATGTGTGCATACTCTATGCCGCTTGAGAAACATATCTTCTTCTTTCGTATGGCCAGGTGGACTTTGCAAGATTGTACGTGTATTTCGAAGTTATTAAGCAAATTAATAGCCTCTGTGGAGGCTAAATAGGTGTTGAATCCCAACACAGAGCCTGATGTGATGCTGCCCCGTTGTGGATCTGTTTTTGTTCTTATTTCCAATGTTAATGAGCAAATTCCTGCTTCATAATTCACTTTACTATGGTGACCACACCAAAACAAAGACTCGCTATTTAACCTCCAACAGACTGTTGGGGCAGGTGCTATGAGTGAGCACCTTTAAGGCCGGCACGGCACACGATGGGGTGGGTGGCCAGCACCACGCCATCTCCCAAGTAGTGAAGTTTACACACCATTGTAGGTACTCATTTGAGGCTGAGTCGACCTAGGGGAGGCCCAGAACTGGTTCCGATAATTGTAACTGGTGTTGGCCGTGAGTGGGAATCATAATTGGGTCGCCGGGTTTGTAGCGCAGCGCGCTAGCCGCGACACTCCAGCTCGCCACTCCGCACCACCATCATCATCCCTTATGAGACAGTTCCTGTTTCGCCATCGAGTTTGCATATCTTCTTTGCCCACATATCTCAGAACTCTGCACGATCTCATATCTCCATGTGTATTGAACTTCTCATCCACTATTAATGAACCCAAACTGCCGCTGATGATACCCCCCCCCCATCACATCCTGACTCTATGATTGAGACTCTCTCCTATTCCATGGCCTCCAAAAATATCTCCTTCTCCAAACTTCAGATGATCCTAAATGTTGCCAACAGACTTTTGACCCACAAACATAAATGAGACCGCAACATTCCAATACTCCCAATTTCTCCACATGGAGAGCTATTTAAGCTCTCAATGTGATTGCCCCCGATCTAACCTCTACACTTTCACCTCAATCTACTCCCCTTCCACACACTCCTCCTACCTTTCCCCTCTCATCTCACTCTACTCCTTTCCACTCGCAGGTCAAGTAACCAAAGGCTTTCTTTCTGTCGAATCCCCCCCCCTAGTCAATCATATCTCGGTGGGAGGTCGCCCATTCTCTTTTCCTGCCTCAAAGTCAGGAACTCCACTTCCCAAAGACATCCATACTGTCAACTGCCTGTGCCTGTTAAGCTACAACACCGTCGCCTTTTTTCTGTGGCTGTGACTGGCTGCCCTATTGTCTATAAATAAAGTGCCCACTGTTTCTATACAGTGACTTGTACACAATATAAATCAAACGTGTTGTCGAATATTAATGGAACTGGCTGAATATCCCATTGCAAGACCCTCTTGAAAAATATGGTCTACATTCATTGTGCCTTTACTAAACATTTAAATGAAATTATTATTGGGAGGGAGCGGTGATGCAGTCGTTCATGCACAATGCTATTCACTTGGTGAGTTTGATTCTGAGCCATGGCTAACATCAGCGGCGAGTGATATCTTAACCGGAACTGGGGTTTCTCCATCACCAAACCCGCACTGGCTATTGTGGAAAAGTATGGGCAAGCAATCTCCATGACCCTCAGCGTGGGAAAGCCTTCCAGTGGCAGTGGATTGACAATGGGCTTTAAATTGAAAACACATTTCTTTAAAACTGCTTTTTGTGTTTAGTTTGTTGATATTCCCCTGCACCTCCGATTAGGACGGTTGGCTACGTACGGTGCGAAAGAAATTCAGCAGATGTGCATGCAAATTATCTATATATTATATATAAAAGGGAAATTTGTGAATGTGTGTCTGTTCAATATGTTTAGCGTACTTCCCGACATGCAACAAACTTGAAATTTGCCCTGTGGGTACTTTCCAGACTGTACACCATGCAAAAATTATAAAAATAGACTTTTGTATTTTTTTGGGGGGGGGGGGGGCGCGCAATAATGCATATATTTTGCACGGCAAATGAGCTGTGACGTCACATCTGTCATGTGACCCGTGTGCGTAAGCGTAACGGAGTGTGCCTGCTGATCGCGGGTAAAGTGAAATACAAATGTGTTGCAGGTCTAAGGCGTTCTTCGCGCAGCATTGCTTTATTATTTGGGTCGTTTACTGCCGTACGCACCCTGAAAGTTGTGTGTGTGTGTCTGCAGTAAGCGCGTGTGTGTGTACCTATGGACGCGCGCGTGTGTGTGTGGGGGGAGCGGTAGTGTAGTGGTTAGCGCTACGCTGCGCTACGAACCCGGCGACCCGAGTTCGATTCCCGCTCACTGCCAATACTGGTGACGATTATTAGAATCGGTCCTGGGCCTCCCCTATGTCGACTCAGCCTCAAACGAGTAACTGGTGTGGTGTGTTAACATCGCCACTGGGGAGACAAAGGCGGCCGGGCGTGGTGACTTTTGTATTTTGGGGGGGGGGGCTCAGAATCAAGTCCCGGGCGAAGCCGGGACTTGGATTATAAAAATGAAACTGGTCCTTGCCACAAGAGCATGGATTTTGTACTACCGGCCGAGGGCCCGCCAGCCTTGTAGCATTGGGGGGGAGGTTGGAGGGGTGTTGCTAGAGGGAGTTGAGCCCCCCAACTAAAGGTTGAGCCCCTCTTATACATTACCAGTCAAGTCGTTCTATATATAAACTGCCTGCAGGAGTTGGTGAGAGCTGGACAACATGTAACATTTTTTCACAATTAAGAAATGGGCATTGCAACCTTTCCTCATACGCACAGGGAGTGAGAGCCAGAGCAGAGTGCGTGATAGACAAAAGCAGATCACATCATTCGTCATTCTGCTTCGCCTTTAGCAGTTCACGGTTTTCAGTATTGATGGTGAGTGTTTGTGTGTCCGCCTTTCTAACCAAGGTCGCACTGCGGCGTTGGGGCCCGCCCGCCCGCCCGCCCCCATGGCCCAGGGCCCCACGTCACTGTGCTCTTTCCCGCCGGCGCCGGGCCCTGTGAGCCGTGGTGCAGAGTGCGCCATCCTGTCCGAATCGGCCGTGGAGCCGCTGGTCGGCGGCTACACCTGCGACTTCACGAGCCCACCCGAGCCGCGCTACCTGTGCGGCTCGTGCCACCTGCCGCTGCGCGACCCCCACCAGACGGGCTGCGGGCACCGCCTGTGCCTCACCTGCGCCAAGGTCATCCTCAGGTGGGGAGGGGATAAGGGGACAGAGCTGGCGCACGGGCGAACGTTGACCGGCAGCGTTAGTGCCGTCCAGCTCTGTAACATCAGAGAGGCTGAGCTGCCCCCGCCCCTTCAAGTCAAGCCTAACGATGGCGTGGCAGCCAAGGGAGGGAACGTGTCCAAGAGAATATCTACCGCGTAGGTGGAGTGATGAAACGTGCTCATGTGTACGTGATGGGTGGATTGTTACATCACAGGGCCATGAGAGATGGTGGTGGCTCGGGAGGATCTTCATCCAGCAGTGGATTGATCGTGGTGGATAATGATGAGAATGAGGATTGAACCATGTCCACTTTTTATCAGTTTGTCGCCATCCCAAAACGGATTTGCAATGCCACAATCTGTCCCACTCCTGCACATGAACTGATGAACCCCATCCTACTGCTGCGTCTTCACAGCGGTTCTACTGTTGGTTGCGTTTTATAATTTTGCTAGTTTCCGCACCGGTGTCTTTCCTCCGCCCTCACCCATCGAGTGAATTGAGTTAGTGGCGAGATAAGACCGGAGCACTAGACATAGTCTAAATATTACCAGTGATACATGTGGATATGAGAACATTCCAGTCAAACTGCTTTTAGCTATGTTGATTCGGAGGGTGCGGGTTTTGCATGAACTTATGGATAATTATAGATAATAAGTTGAAGTATGACTTTTTTTACCTGCAAAAAATGTGTGGATAATATTAATTCAGCACTTTCAGGTTCTCACTTCTGGGGAACCCGGCTGAATGTAAATGTAGATAATAGGATGAATGTGCTATGTGGCAACACTTAACCATGAATAATCAGCAGAATTTTTGCAGATCACTTAAGGCAGAGGTGGGAATCCTATGGCCCACACACTGTAGTGAGCCCACAACTTATTTTTAACATGGCCCAGCAGTCACATGAGACCTACCACTTGAAAATGGCCTGCATATGAAACACATCTGTAACTCTCACGCCAAGCATATTCGTCTTAATAATTGGGTGTTAGAGGGGAATATTTATAACCTAGCAACGATGCTGCGTTTTCAATTTTAGCACACTTGGGTCACTTCTGTCATTGCAAGAGCCTCTTGCAGTGACAAAAACGATTGAGGTTTTGCCTTGCCTGAGCTATAGGGGCTGTGAATAACTAGCAGAAGGGGGGCAATAGGATCGCAAAAGAGGGAAGTTTCACTGTGGCCTTCGTTTCTTGTCGTGTTTTTTTCAGTGCCCCAAGCCCGGCGTGCCCCGAGTGCGCCTCCCCCCTCGCCGAGCACGAGGTGAGATCACGACAGGTCCCCCACTGCCAAATGTGTAAGTGGCTACGGCTCACTGATGAGCTATCGGAACACGAAGCTGCCCACGTCTCTTGTATTTTAGAATTACCGGTGGATGTTATTAACCCTAAATAAGTTCCTTATGGCAGACAATTACTAGTGTCGTTTGTTTATGATACTATATTAAAAGAAACAAAATGCTGCCTTCCTAGAAGGGATGAATGGGCGGATGGTTACGTCCAAAGACATGCGGGTTGCAAGTTCATAAGAAAAATTAAATGGTTTAGTTTTAAACAGTGTAGTCGTTGATGCCAATTGCATGTCACATTTACGAAGGAGCCGCAGACAAGCTGGGAAGGCAGAAAAGTGGTGAGCCGGCATCAACAATTGCCCAAGCTCTGCAGTTCTCTATACATTAACATGTTTTCAGCCAATTAATGAGTGTATATACAGAAAAGGCTCGGCAAGTCCCAAGATTCATATTCAGGAAGATTCTTTCTTGGGATGTTTTACCAGTAAAATTTTAAGGAGTGTTTTGCAATACATTTAAATTTAATATACAATGTACTGCGACTATATACTACAATGTCATTCATGTTTAGCGGGTGGAGAGCGCGAGTGCAAGGGTGCATTAACAAACACGCATACATGCGTCAAAATTCATGCGTCAAACATTTAGGTAATGATGGTATGGGGGTGCAGAATGAATCGAGAGGAAATGATGAAGGAACTTATTTTTTGGTTCTTTATTTGACCTTCCTGCTACAGTTTCCCTCTTTTTGTCACTCGACGCTGCGGGCTGGAAATGGCCACTCACGTTACCGTAACGTTTCCTTATTTAATTTTTCCGAGCATTTTGTTGAAAAACCTCCAAGCACGAGGAGCTTCTTGAGGTTCGTCGCGAGTTCCTTGATGCAAAAATACCACGAGAAACGCCCGCCTCTTCAACAACCGCATAGCTTAACATTCCAACCACTGCACGCACCCTTCTTCTTAATTCCTCATACCTGCTCTGAACTGGCTGCCTGGGACCTTCCCCAGCTCCCAGCTACCATACTCCAGCGCTTGTGCTCTCCGTCCCTTTCCCATCCACCCGGCCTTTTGCCCTCATTCCTTTGGCTATTGCAATTTGCTCTTTCGCCTCCGATTAGCACGGTTGGCTAGGTAAGGTGCGAAAGAAGTTCAACATACATACGACATACACACATACAAAAGCAGTGACTCAATACACACGGTTTAATTATGGACGTCTCATACCCGGATTGGTCTCCGAGTTGGTGACTCCACGATTCTGACACAGCATCATCTCCCTGAGCTGGCTGGCTCTGCCAATGTCCCCTATTCTCTCACTCTACTGTCTTTGACACTCCACGATGTGCATCCCGTGTCTCCCTGTCCCTCTCCATGTCTCCTCTTGTCTGCCCATGTGTCCTCGTGTTTCCCCCTTCCCTGTCCCTCCACGTGTCCTCCGTGTCTTCCCATTCATCCCCATGTCTCTCCGTGCTTCCCCGCATGTCCCCATCTCTCCGCATGTCTCTCCGTGTCCCCCCATGTTCTCCCCGTGTGTCCTCCGTGTCTCCCCATTCCTCCCCATGTCTCTCCGTCCCTCTCCGTGCCTCCCCGCGTGTCCCCATCTCTCGCCATGTCTCTCCGTGTCCCCCCATGTCTCCCCGTGTGTCCTCTTGTGTCCCCCCGCATCTCCGCATCGTCTGTGGGAGGAGCAGCTGTACAGAGACGCGTGCTGTACCCGGGAGGTGCTGGGGCTTCTCGTGTTCTGCTCGAACCGCTCAGCTGGCTGTGAGGACACGGTGGCGCTGCGCCACCTCGAGGTGAGCACCACACTGCGTCCTCATGCATCGCATCCCGCATGTGTGTGAGGATGTGTTTTGAGAGACAATGGGGAGTGGTGGTGCAGCGGTTGGTGCGCTGCGCTACGCATTTGGCGACTCGGGTTCAATTCCCCGCTCACAGTCAACACCAGTAATGATTATCTGAACCGGTCCTAGGCCTCCCCTTGGTCGACTCAGCCTCAAAGAATAAGTACCTGGTGCATTGTGTAAACATCGCCACCAGGGAAACAAAGGTGTGTGTTCTTAATGTATATTGTGTGCGGTTTATAATCACTGAGTGTGGGGTGTATGGTCGTTGTGTGTGGTGTTTGGTGTGTCTGTGGTATATGCTCACTGTGTATGATGTTTGTGGTGTTTGGCGTTTGTTGTGTATGATGTTGTGGATGCTCACTGTGGTGTGTGGTGCGTGCGGTGTATGCTCACTGTGTGTGGTGCATGTGTGGTGTATGCACGCACACTGCGTGTGGTGTGCAGTGTGTTATGAATGTTCACTGTGTGGTGTGTGTGTAGTGTTATTGTGTACGTAGCACGTGTGGTGTGTGTAGTGAATCGTTACCACGTGTGGTGTGTGTAGAGTGCAGTGTGTGTGATGTGTGCGCACTGTGTGTGGTGTGTGTGGTATATGTTCACTGTGTGGTGTGTGTAGAGTGCAGTGTGTGTGATGTGTGCGCACTGTGTGTGGTGTGTGTGGTATATGTTCACTGTGTGGTGTGTGTAGAGTGTGGCGTGTGGTGCATGCTCACCGTGTGTGGTCTATCCTCACCGTGTGTGTTACAGACTCACCGTGTGTGTTACAGACTCACCGTGTGTGTTACAGACTCACCGTGTGTGTTACAGACTCACCGTGTGTGGTCTATGCTCACCGTGTGTGGTCTATGCTCACCGTGTGTGTTACAGACTCACCGTGTGTGTTACAGACTCGCCGTGTGTGTTACAGACTCACCGTGTGTGGTCTATGCTCACCGTGTGTGGTCTATCCTCACCGTGTGTGTTACAGACTCACCGTGTGTGTTACAGACTCACCGTGTGTGTTACAGACTCACCGTGTGTGTTACAGACTCACCGTGTGTGTTACAGACTCACCGTGTGTGGTCTATGCTCACCGTGTGTGTTACAGACTCACCGTGCGAAGTGCCCGCATGAGCGCGTGCTGTGCGACTTCCCGCGCTGTGGCACCTCCGTTCAGCGCACACGGCTCGCCGCACACCGTGCCTCCTGCCCTCACCGCGCCGAGTTCTGCAAGTATTGCAGTGCGGCCGTGACCTGCTCCCTTCTAGAGGTGCCAGCATCACCATCATCACCAACGTCATCACCGTCACCACCTGTCATCGCGATCATCATCATTGTCATTGTAACAATTTTCATAATCACAATCATCACTTTACTAGAATGTTTAGAACCATCATCATTGCTATCTTCACCATAATCATCGCCATCATTATGATTTTAACTGTTAATAACTATCATCGTTAACATAATAATACTAGTTATCCATTGTCTGCATTTTTGTCATCTTAATGATAGTTAGGGTTGGGCTTTGAGCCTGGGTTAGGGTCAGGGTAAGGATACTTAGTGTCAGGGTTAGTGTTGTATCAGAGTTTGGACCGGTCTGTGCATCGCTCACGGCTTGCTTGCCTGTCCCCTGGCTGCCCCCTGGCTGCCCCCTGGCTGCCCTCAGAGGCACCACAAGGAGGAGTGTGCGCAGTACCCGCTGCCCTGCCCCAACAACTGCGAAGAGCATGGCATCCCACGCGCAGAGGTGAGACGGCAGTGGCATAGCTATCGGGCGCGCAGGCAGTGCAACTGCACTGGGGCCCACGGGCTGAAGGGGGGGGGGGGGGGTTACAAATTGGAGAGCTAAAGGTAGATAGGGATTCCCAATGCATTTTCTGCACCAGGGTCCATGGCAACCACACCACACTACACCACTGTGAAACTGCATGTTGATACAGGAGATGATGACATGTGGTGTTTGATGATGATACGATCTGATGATGATGATGATGGGGGTGGTGGTTCTGTGTGAAGGTAATAACATTTATATTTAGATGTGTGGATGTAAGAATCATTAATTTTGTATTCACGTACATTATACGATATAGATTGTGTAGATTCATACCACTCATAGAATCTACATTCACAATGGAAAATTAGAATCAATGTGTGCATGTGTGTGGGGAGCGGTAGTGTAGCGGTTAGCGCGCTGGACTATGAACCTGGCGACCCAAGTTCAATTCCCGCTCACGGCCAACACCAGAGATGTTTTTTCTGTACCAGTATTGGTACGGTGTATAAACCTCGCCACTGGGGAGACAAAGGCGGCCAGGCGTGGTACTGGCCACCCCCATCCACTTGTGTTGCCGTTCCAGCTTTCATAGGTGCTACACGCTAACAGGAGCTACCTCAACAGTCTATTAAGGCTACACGGTGGATCTTTGTCTTTGACAGCTCTCTCAGCACATGTCAGCCTGTGCGATGTCCACCAAGCTCTGTGGCTTCCACATGCTGGGGTGCACCTTTAAGGTAAGAGGCCGATGTGCATGTGTTTGTGTGTGCGTGTGTGTGCGTGTGTGTGCGCGTGTGTGTGCGTGTGTGCCGTTGTATCTGTGTAGGTATGTATGTGCCTATTTGAATGTACATGCATGCGTGCGATGCAGGGCACGAGCGAGTCGGTGCGTGAGCACGAGGAATCTGCGGTGCGAAGCCACTTCACTCTGGTGATCAGCAGGAATTCCGAGCTGGAGCTGCAGGTGACAGAGACTGCCGTGTATCTGTCTCTCATGTGTGCATCTTGTGCGTGTATCTGTTTATTTCTGTAAAGTTTGTCCGTTCTTGTCTGTTTGTGTTTCCATCCATTCCTGCCTGTAGGGCTATCCGTGTTTGTCCATTCCTGCTTGTTTATTTCAGTGTCCGTCTATTTCTGCCGATCTGTCCGTGTGTCCACCCCTTTTTTTCCGTCTAACCCTAACATCAATTCTAATCCTAATGTCAACTCTGTACGTGTGCATTTTAAACTTCTTTCGCACAGTACGTAGCCATCTCAACCATGAACGTGAACTCTAACCCTTAACCCCCTCTCCCTTCGCTGCAGTGTGCACGGCTGCAGTGCTCGATCGAGGATCACACCAACATGTCCGAGATGCTGACTCAGCGCGTGGCTCAGCTGGAGCAGGACCTGTCTCACTGGAGCACGCTCACTGGCTCCAACAACACTCGCCTGGGCTCCACGCTGGTGCGTGCCTGGCTACACCTGCAGCACTCGCCCATCGCACATCTTTGACCTGACCCTCAGGAATGTATCGCCGTGTTGGGCGGTGACACGGCCTCGCGGTAGCGCGCTTGTTGGAGAGGTTCGTGTTTTGACCCGTTATGCTTTGCAGAAGGCGTTAAAGATCCCTTGATGTGATTCGAAGTGAGTAGGCCATTAAATTGGGGTGACACATGGCAATCGTCATTTCCTACTGGCAGACGAATGCTGTTTGCATGCCCAGTGCCGAGTCACTTTCTGTCCAGTCACAGCTTCCACCGGGGATATGCTGCCAAACGTTTGAGATGATATTTGATGTAAAGCGCTCTTGAGACACCTCTGCGTAAAAATGCAAGATGCTATATGAAGTAAAAATCGTGATCATTATTACATTTTGACTTTAAACTTTCGTGACTGCAGGAATTCATTTTCTTTGGTTCTTTCGGTAAAGTCGCATAGATGTTTTTTATTTTCTATCTACATGACTTTATCGAAAGAACATGATCATTATTACTGACATTTCCTGGCCATCCTACAACCCATTCTATTGAAAAAACCTCTACATGTCTCCCACCAATGCTAACACACTTATTAAATACTTCTACACTCGCGATACCCTTTGTCCAACATACAGTGCTATTTTGTTTGTTTACAACATTCAATGACATGTAAGATGAGAGCATTGATATCTTGCAGTTTTGTCACGTACACACACACGGCCTCTGATGTTTTCCCACAAGAAACAATCATGTGGGGTGATGTAAGACAAACGCGGGCCATGCAGTTGTTCCAGCCAGGCCATTCCAACACACAGATGTCTCTGGAAACCAATTAGGTAATGCACGAAACCAAGGTCATTTTTACAAATCAGTGGGCTATCTAGAAAAAAAAAAACTTAATGTAACCCGTGCGTCGTTTTTCCTGACCTCTGTTTTGCGACAGGAGATGCTCACGCAACACAACGAGCAGCTGCAGAGCCTACACGTGGCTCAGCGCGCGCCCCAGCGCGACGCTGACACGGCAGCGCTGCGCAGGGACATGGCGACGCTGCGCGAGCGCCTGCGTGCCCTTGAGGCGGCACTGGGCAACCCGGGCCCCTGCGAGGAGCGGTGCCACATGCACGAGCAGCGGCTCACGATGCACGACGGCCTCCTCGACACCGCCGAGCGGCGTTTGCAGGTCACTTAAATGAATTAATGACTCGCCCAAGTAGGGTACGACCGGCCGGTTAACTTGACCGCTTAACGATAGACTGCACGACTTAAAGAATTAACGTTCGGCACAAGTAAATGAATGACTTGACGGTCCACTAAGTGACTTTTTAGACCGACCGCTCGAGTTGACTACTTAACAGCTGACCGCATGACTTATTTTATGCGTGATAAATTAAGGAATGACTGAACTACTTATTGACTCACCAAGTAACTTAATTACGTCATGACTAGTTGATTGACCGGGTGACGTAACACTCAACAACCCACCAAGTGACATAATGACCAGCCTTATTATTACTTGCCACGTGCCTTAATGACTTACCGACCAAGTAACTTAACGAGGGATCTCACGAGGGATTCATGATTTACAGGGAGTCTAGGCTAACACGAACCACCGCGCTTCACTGCAAGCTGCCAACGTCCCCTTTCTCGCGCGTACGTATGCAGGTTCTGGAGACGGCAGGCTACAGCGGCAAGCTGGTGTGGAAGATCCGCGACTACGCGCGGCGCAAGCAGGAGGCCGCCAGCGGCCGCACGCTCTCGCTGTACAGCCAGCCCTTCTACACGTCGCCCTTCGGCTACAAGATGTGCGCGCGCGCCTACCTCAACGGCGACGGCGTCGGCCGCGGCACGCACCTGTCGCTCTTCTTCGTGGTGATGCGCGGCGAGTACGACGCGCTGCTCGAGTGGCCCTTCCGCCGTCGCGTCACGCTGTCGCTGCTCGACCAGGGCGCGGCGCGGCGCCACCTGTCCGACACGTTCACGCCGGACCCGGCGAGCGGCAGCTTTCGCCGGCCCGATGGCGACATGAACGTGGCGTCGGGGTGCCCGCTGTTCGTGTCGCACGTCGCCCTAGAGGGATCGTCGTACCTCGTGGACGACACGGTGTTCGTGCGCGTCGTCGTCGACCCGGGCGGAGCGAGCGACCCCTGAACTTTTGGCTCCCCACCGACCCCCAAAGCGGCGGTCGTCCCCCCGTGGAAGGAGGATGAAGCCTCTGTAAAAAGTGTCAGGGTGTCTTCGGGTCACAACCAGAAGCGCTCGTGTTAAAATGAGCTGTAAAACGACAAAAGAAATGGCCTGAGAGTCACGGTATTCAAATGGTGCCTATTTTCCATTGGCGGTTGTACAAGGCGAGTGGTGGAAACTCCACATTCCTGTGGTATGAATCGTCCCTCCAAACAACTAATGTACATTTTACCGATACTGGAGAGATCACGATGATGATTGTATTAAATGGAAAATAAATCAACATCTATACACATGCACGTGTTGTATAAGCCTGAATGCTATTCTGCCATATAAATAATGTAATAATAATACTGCCCTTTTTCAATCCACTGCTGGATGAAGGCGACGCCACGCCGTGTCGGTCATGAGATTGTTTAACGAAACTTCACGCTCGTTAGAGCATGTTGGTGAATATGGTGGCCCATGACCAGTTCAGATATCACTCGCCACTGATGTTAGCCGTGGCCGGGAATCAAACTCAGGTCACCGGGTTCATAGTTCAGTGCGCTAACCACCATTGCACCACTGCTTTCTCCCAATAATAGAAATTACGTAATCCAAAAATATGCTGAAATTAACATTTTTCATAAAAAATAATAACTCGCACATGGTGCTTTGCGTGTGGCCATATAAAATGAAGCTCGCCTTTTTGCTTTGGCTGCCAGGTAATTTGCATACGCCGTGATATAGCATTTAAAAATACCCACTGTTACTTTTCCTCGTGTCGGTGTTCATAGCTATTTAATTGATATTTTGGTACGATAATTAAGAATTAAATATTCTACGTGTCCGCTGGGTTCCACGGTCATTGTGTTGCTGAAGCGTTGATGTGGCTCTGTGCATTCTAATGCGATAAAAACGCCGAGATCTTAAGAGGACATCGCCCTGCGTGTTTTTTTTCCCACCGTGATCCCTTCAAGATCATCCTTCCCCTCCTTGAAGTAATTCATCATCCCATAGCTGTCAACCCATACGGTTTACCCGTATTCTTGTACAGGGAAATTTTGCAACATTTTTGCGTCTATTTGTGTTTCTCCCTTGTGATGGGACTTTTAGATGTATAAGGGGCACGGGGGTGACCAGTGTCTGAATTGTTCTGTAATAAGATAGAGCACTGATGAGGGGTTCACAGGTTTGTCATCCTCGGGCTGTGACAATTCAGCCCTCACGATTCATGGTCACGATCCGATTCAATAATCATTTATTTTCTAAGCGCATTCCAACAGTGTGGCGTTGACTGCACATTGGGTACTGGTTCCCACAAGCAGACTTCGCAGCAGTGAACATTGGTGACCACACTGACGAGTCCCAATAAAAACGAAACCGGTTTACAATTGTATTCTTGGTTCTTTCGGTAAAGTCACGTAGAAGGGAAACAATAAAATAATACAAATATAAAACAATAAAATTCTCACGACGTTTCGACTGCAACACAAGCAATCAATCAGGTGTGAAAACCACAGCAAGAAAATTAGAAAAAAGTGGCGTTTTTTAAAAAACACAATTGTCCATCTCTTCATCACTGCTGCTGTCAGTGGGTCACATTTTTGCGCAAATTTATTTTGATGGTGACACTAAGTCAAGAAGAAAGGACCATACTGCAGTTCTTCAGGAACTGTTGATGGGTTGTTGCATACTGCAACAAATGCGGAAGTTATTTTCTGCACGTTTATCCGTTGCTTGAAACATTACGGTCTTTTTTTATCATGGGAATTTTCTCGCGTAAAGATAGTCGAATGTGAATTGGTTTACAAATGCAGCTGGCATACATATACAGACTGTATATACAGACTGCCACTGGTCTCGTATTGTATGTTAATGACTCTTGTCAGTTCACCACGGTCCCTATACGTGTTCAGCCTCCAAGTTTGCCGTGGTTCCTTATACAGTTCGGCACTGTAATGTTGATCCTGTTAACCGCGGTCTCTTACAATGTTCCTGTGTTTATCCAGTGGGTGTTTATCGCGGTCCCTTAGTGTTCATCCAGTGGGTGTTTACCGCGGCCCCTTACAAATGTTCACCCAGAGGATGTTTACCGCGGTCCCTTGTAAATGTTTATTCAGTGGATGTTTACCGCGGTCCCTTGTAAATGTTGCTCCTGTGGGTGTTCACCGCCGCCCCTTGTAAATGTTGCCCCTGTGGGTGTTTACCGCCGCCCCTTGTAATGTTGCCCCTGTGGGTGTTTACCGCCGCCCCTTGTAATGTTGCCCCTGCGGGTGTTTACCGCCGCCCCTTGTAATGTTGCCCCTGTGGGTGTTTACCGCCGCCCCTTGTAATGTTGCTCCTGTGGGTGTTTACCGCCGCCCCTTGTAATGTTGCTCCTGTGGGTGTTTACCGCCGCCCCTTGTAATGTTGCTCCTGTGGGTGTTTACCGCCGCCCCTTGTAATGTTGCTCCTGTGGGTGTTTACCGCCGCCCCTTGTAATGTTGCTCCTGTTGACCGCCGCCCCTTGTAATGTTGCTCCTGTGTGTTTATCGCCGTCCCTTGTAATGTTTATCCAGTGGGTGTTTACCGCCGCCCCTTGTAATGTTGCTTCTGTGGGTGTTGACCGCAGTCCCCGCAGTGGTTGCCGCGCGGGGCCCGGTCAGTGACTGTTGTTTTGCGCCTCACCTCAAACTGCGTTCGCGTGTCACGCACGCGCCGTGCATAGCGATAATCACGTCTGACTCGCGCACAGTACACGTGGCCAGATCACCAGAAATGCGCCAAGTCTCGTCGTCAGGGCTCGGCAGGGGATGGGTTATCACCACTGCGTGACACGTCCAAATAGGCTTAAGGGCTGCGCTATCGGCAGAAGGCTGCCCACGTTAAAACATCCGTTGTTGCAGAGTACTGTGCTTACACGTCTACGCAGCACGCCTTCAACAACCTGCACTGAACGGTGAGGTGAAGTGCGTTCTGATAACCCCCAGGACCCAGCACGGGCTGGGTGCAGGAGGCCCTCATCCAGCAGTGGATTCACACACCGGCCGTGCTTTGTACGTTTTTGATTTGGGCCCTGGTTTTGGGGTAAGCTTCGAGCAAGTGGCTCTTCTTCTTCTTAACCTGGGACTGTGAGATGCCCTTTCTGGAGGTGCGAGACGTGACCAGATTTTTTTTAGAAGGTAAATAATCGAAAACACAAATTTAGCACGGCCACGTAAGTACAACTTACTCTGTTTCATGAAACTCATGCGTTCAGATTGTTTATATTTTATTGTTTCCCTTATATGTGACTTTACCGAAAGAACCAAGAATATGAATCCCTGCAGTCACGAAAGCTTTAAATCAAAACCCATGTATTCATTAACATTCTAATTTCTGTTTGCGATTGAGAAGCAAAGGCTTGCGTGCATGGCTGCGGTGACAGCGTTCACATCCACAGAGCCGAAATGCATTGCCATACAGACGCGCAGCGGTACAGTAATGTGATATTGTGCTATTAAGGACCATTACCCGAAACGTCGCCTATTATAAATTGGTTATTTTGAGGCCACCGTTATCGACACTTTTTTTGTGAATAGTATTTGACATGTGTTTTATACGTCCGTCGGGCAGCGAAAATGGACAGGGGTGGCGGTACAGCAAATAGGTTTTGAGGCTGGCTTTGGGGACCTTTGAGTGTATAACGCCCTCTTGTTATTGCGTGGTGGGGTTTCTCCGGGTCCTCCGGTTTCCTCGCCGTCACCTCGCCCCGTGTGATCGAGAGTTGACTGTTTAGCCAAGTGAAAGAGCCAGGTGGGTGAGATAATTCTTACCAGCGCTGAGTCGGCAATTAATGGTCTATTCTTGCACTATTTTTTATTGCCTCCTATTTAATGATGACTCCTTGACCAAGCTTATAGCTTTAATTGCTACTGTATTGCCCAATAATAATTTCCTTCATTTGCCTCGGGAAGCGTCGCTGTGTCTTCAAGACATTTTATTACAATTTTGCTTTGTTTCTTCCGATTCCAACAGATGAGAGCGAGTGCTCCGCTCAGGCGGACTGGCGCAGCCTTCTCGAGCGTCTCCGCTCACCGGTGACAATGCGGTTCAAGCTGCGGGCGCGGCTGCGCTGCACGCCCTTCAAGATCCTCATCTTCCTGCTGCTCGTTGTCATGCTCGCGCTGCAGCTCACCTACCTCGTGCTGCTGCTGCGCATGGACGGCCGCGGCGACGGCTCTTCGCCCCTGCCGCTGGCGGCCGCTTTCCTTGGCGCTATCGTGCGGCGTTCGTCTGAACCGCTGATCGTGGCCAATGGGAGCCTCGCCGGGGACCCCCAAGAGGCCGCGAATGCGTTGAGGGCGGCGCTGGTCGCTGCCGGCGGTGCCCCCGCGCTCGATGCCAGCAGCCGCTTTGCCATCTTCAGCCGGCTCCTCGCGCCGGAACCGGCTACGGACGGCGCCGGCGACACGTGGCATGAGCTGAGTCTGGCGACCCACACGTCCGTCAATGGGCTGCACCACCTGGAGGTGCTGCTGGAGCGATGGGAAGGGCCCGTGTCGGTTGCCGTCTTTGCCTGCGCCAACGACACATGGCTGGCGCTCGCCGCCATCGCGGCGGTGCGGGGTTGCTCAAAGAAGGCGCGCGACAACGTCGCCTTTCACCTGGTGGCGTCGGCCAACGCGGGGTTCTCGTCCGCGGCGTGGGGCGATGCCGTGGTGTGGGCAGATGCTGGAAAAGGGCACCGCTGGGTGGCGCCGAAGGTCGGTGCTGGCTGCACTGAGGTGTTCGCGTGGCTCGGCAGCGAGGCGGTGCAGGGCGCACGCAGGAACTACGCGCTTGATGGCGGCGTGCCCTACCCCAACAACCTCCTGCGCAACGTGGCACGAGCCGGTGCCCGCAGCCGGCACGTGCTCGTGGTGGACGTGGACATGGTCCCCAGTGTCAACCTCCACCGGGACTTCTTGTCCATGCTACGACGGGAAGATGGAGGCGGTCGCCGTGACCGATTGATTGTGTTCGTAGTGCCGTCATTTGAGATACGCCACTCTCGCCGCGTGCCAGACACCAAGGCGGAGCTCCTGCGCCTCCTCGGGGCACTGGAGTTGCGGCCGTTCTATGACGAGCTGTGCCGCAAGTGCCAGGCGCCCACCGACTATGCACGCTGGGCGGCGCTGGCTCCCGCGCCAGGACTGGCGCCAGCATACGAGCTGGAGTGGCGCGACCCTTGGGAGCCGTTTTACGTCGGCCCGAGCGCCGCGCCGCCGTTTGACGAGCGCTTTCAGCAGTACGGCTTCAACCGCATCAGTCAGGTGCGGCGCGCGCGGTGTTGATGATGTTAGCCACCTCAGGGGTTGTTCAAAAATAATTTCCCTTGTAAAATATTCACTTGGTTTGGTTTGGTCATACCTGGAATTAACAAATGAGCGGAGCGTGTTGGTGCGCACCTGTGATCTGGTCCTTTGGAGGCATAGGTCGGTGGGACGTGAAGTTTTTGTTGGCACAATTAGCACCGCATAAGCCGTGGGAAATCCACTCCTGGACAAAGGTCTTCCCAAGTTACAGCCATATCTTATGATCCTGTGGTGTATCAATACACCGAGGAACCTGCAGACAAGTTGATTCCATATGTAAAGTGGTTTGTTAATCAAGTAAATGGATTTGGCCCGTGTGTTTGTGTGCGTGCGTGCATACTCAGACATGTGAGCTGCACGTCGCTGGATACCGCTTCGCTGTGCTGGACAACGCCTTCCTGGTCCACCGTGGCTTCAAGCTGCCGGGAGAGTTCCACGCTGGCAAGGAGGCCGAGCAAGAACGCAACCGCATCCTCTTCCGCCGCTTCAAGCAGGAACTTAAGTTGCGCTACGCCGACTCCCCCCGCCGCTGCTGACCGACCGTCATCCTTCACCAACATCGGCATCATCTGGGGGAAGGGGGGTGGCGGGTGGCACCACTTTAAAATTTTGCTGACGGCCATGGCGGAGTGGGGAGCATGAGGGTTGAGGCGATGCTGCCGATGTTAAATAATGAACACAGTCCAGTCATCACGGAGGTGCTGTAGCTGAGGGGTAGGACACCTGGCGGCCGAGTTTAACACATGAAAGGACACCGCTCATCCCTGCCACGGATTACAGAGCAAACAGTACAGCGTTTTCACCGAGCCATACTGAAAATGTACGAGTGCTATTTAGTTTATCTTAAAAATGACAAGTAGTTTAAAAGTAATGATATTCTGTTTACCATGAAAATTACGTCAGTAAGCTGACCACGTGAATTTTTAGTGGTGGGGGCTCCATGCCCCCTTCCCCACAATCATGCTGCCTGTTATCACCACTGCCAGTGTCGCAGTGATGCCTTGATGACACGACTGCCAAAAACACAAAAACCTGTTGGTTGATTAAAATGGCTATTCAATCTTAGAGCTCTAAAAAAAGCAATCGGTATGTCCAATGACAGTTTTTTAAGTAACTAGATGTGGTGACACGCTTGTAATCCAGTTATTTTAGAAGCACTGGTTGATAGTTGTGAACAGTGTGAGGTGGTCAAGAGGTGGCAGCATAGCAAGTGGGTTTAAGAACCTGTCCTTATGGCACTTTGTTAATTTCCCACTCCTCCGCTTAACACGGTTGGCTACGTACGGTGTGAAAGTAGTTCAACATACATCCACTTAACTGAAAAGTAAACACATTTGGCAACGTTATGAACTGTATTGGCCAAACATCTCAATACAGCAGGACCCTCAAGGTATTGTGTATGAATAACATACAAATTTACTAATTATAAGCTTTGTATCATGGTATTACAGTGCTATTTTAATATTTAATGACCTTGTTAACACAATAGTAATTCAGTTATCACCCTGACAAACCCACAAGACCCCCACTTGCCGTTCTTCGTTGGTGCAAATGTACAAAATCCAATCCTCAACATTAAATGGCATTCAACAGAAAAGTATGGTGATATAAGATATGATGGTAGAGCTAAACCTTTAATCATAATTGCACATTTGTTCTCTATAAATCACCTTTTGCATGTACTGTACTATTATGCTCAACATACACAGCAGCGAGCTTCCTGGCCTCTGGCCTATAAAACATTGTAAATGTGAATTCAGTTTTATCATAAATGGCACCGATGACCAGATCACCTGAAATGTATATCAAAGAATCGGATCTTAGAAGCTAAGCAGGTTTTAACGTGAATGATAGTTGGATAAGTGACCACCGTGCACACCAGGTTGTCAGGTTGCCGTGGACTTGTGCTTTGTGGGCAGTGCAGCAAAATCTGTTGTACCGAACTGTGCTTCCACGTCTATGATACCCCACCTTCGATCTCCACTTATCATCGTGGTAAAGTATGGTTAAATAATGCACCTTATCCATATAGTGGAGAGCCCTCGACAATGGGGCTGTACGTGTGTATAATAAATGGTAACACCACAAGTATCCCTAATCCTAGCTTGACTTTAAATTACTGATCGAAGATTGTTGATGTACGTCATGTGCTGTCAGACACCAACTCCCTAGAAACACTGCAATATGAAGCAGTGTTTTCATTGATGTAAAAAGGATAGTTTTTTTGGTATGTGTGATGCACTGTATTTTCCCCTCGATTTGGTGCCGTGATGTATGGCAAATGTTTGCGTTTTAGTTTATGGAATAAGCCCGCGGTTTTCCCGAATGACTTTAATAAATTATTTTGTCAACAAAACCTTGTAATTTTATGCACTACCTACAAAAAAACAATGGTGGCAATTGGTGCTGAGCTAGTGGTAAATTAGACCACATGGCAAAGTCACCTCTACGAAAATCACTCTTAATGCCCGATCAGACCAGATCTCAGTGGGATTGAGCTCGTTAGTCTTGGGATGGGAGACTCCGGGAACTCCAGGCGATGCAGCCTGTGAGGTGTGTGCGGAGTCTTGCCATCTCATACATGGGCAGTTTTTTTTCTCACGTGCTCTGGTTTCTCTCACTTAGACCAAACACTCAGTCATGGAATTGATGCAATACCCGCCTCAAAAAAGTGTTTTGGGGGAAAATGGATGTTAAAGCATGCGGCCACATTTTAACATGCAATATTAAAAATCTGGATATTAAATTTAACCTCTGCTCGATTTTCACAACTGTATATTTTTTTGACTCATTCTGAAATCAGGATCGCATCCCGAATACGTATCCTGTTTACATTTATTTCCGACAGTTACTTGATCAATAAAGGAAGTTATGCATAGAGCACAGTCCAGTATTTACATTTGTAATGTAGAGATGGGGTGTTGCAAGATGTTGCATCATTTGGTGATTGCTGCAAGGTTGGTGTAGTCATGTGATCATAATCAGCCATGATGACTCAATCCACTACTGAATTCAGGCCACCACACCCCCCCAGGTCATCACTTGTGAATATTACTCAGAATTCCACTACAGCACACGGTTGCCAGTGCGTTGTGGATTGGACGTTTCAGTCGTAGTTCGACACCAGAGGGCGTCTGGTGCCTCTCGTTTGGATTCCGTGGCTGGTGGCGATGGATGATGGAACGATTCTCATCCCTGGTGATACCCCTCCACATTTTTGCATTCAAGCCTCGAATCGTTTTAACATCGTGGACAAATTTGGCGGCCTCTTTACGACCGCAGGTGACTTCCAACCCATATCACGTCCAACACGATTGCGCGCCCGGATCTTGTCGGATCTCGGAAGCTTCTTAGCATTTAAATTTCGATTTAAAGCTTTCGTGACTGCAAGGATTCATCTTCTTGGTTCTTTCGGTAAAGTCACGTAGAATGAGAATAAAACAATAAAACAAAATAAGACAATAAAATTCTCACGACGTTTCGGCCACAACACAAGTAGCCTTGTAGCCTTCTTGAAGAAGGCTACTTGTGTTGTGGCCGAAACGTCGTGAGAATTTTGTCTTATTTTATTCTCATTGTACGTGACTTTACCGAAAGAACCAAGAGAAGATGACTTCTTAGCATTTGTTGAGGCTGCATAGTGCATGGAGAGGTGTTCACCGTGCACACCAGGTATTTGTAGGTTGCTTCAAACTATATGCAGAGGTCTGTGCAAAGAAAAACAAGAATTGTTGAACTGTACTTATGCGCTCCTACATTTTATACTCGCCGCCTTCACCACCAACCCGCACTGACCAGCGTCAAGTACGGTCAAATAACCTCCACGATCCGCAGCGCGTGCGGAGGTCCTCATCCAGCAGTGGATTGACCATGGCTCATGATGCTAAATCTGGGAAAGCACAACGTCTGTGAAGCAGAACGTTAGAGGCAAGGACGAGTGGGTCACGGTAAATATCTGTGAAACTCTCAACCCGACGGGGTTTGTGAAGTGTCCACGGCGTGTCAAGTACCGAAAGAGGATTCTTGAATCCAACTGTGCGGAGCTTTGGATACTTATTTCCTCGTTTGAGTAGTGGGTTTTTTTTCAGCGTTATTTCAGTTTTCTCCCACATGATGCGACACGCATAATTTAAAATTGAATCGGCCAAAAATGTAGCAGGGCCCTCCTGTTAACTATTCTTGAGACTCATTGATGCTCTGCTGCATAGCTGGGATTACAGCATCATCACTATCGCAAATTACATAAGTGATTAATGTACTTTATACAACCAGCACAATGAATAATCAGACACTACTCAATCATATCTGATCGTTCACGAAAAAACAGCGTCGGTTCAACACCAGCAACCGACTACTACAGGTACACAGATTTCTACATTTAGGGTCGCGAAACAAGTTAAACGTAAAAATTGACAGGCGGAGTAGAAAGTTAAATTAATCTAAAAACATGTTTATAAATAATAAGAAATATAGATACCCTATTCTCAGATTATAGGGCGTATTTAACCCTCCCCGCGTAACTTAAAGCATCGTCTGATAATCCGGAGAGCACCGTAGTTTTATTGGGTTACTCCAGCGAATGATGTTAATATTACTTTTCAATATGCGAGCGTTAACAACAATAACAACACAACAACAAAAAAACAACGCACACAAGTAAGACACGCAAAAAAAACAACATCCACGAACTAACAAAGTACAGACGATGAAGAGTGAAAGCCTCTTCCGACACACGCACGCCACACGTGGGCCCCATTCATTCACGCCGCTCCCCACCATTATTTGAGTGCTGTGGGGGCTTCGACCGCGGCACCTCTGGAATTTATAGTTCGGTTGCGCGCGCTCGCCGCTCCTGATTGGTTGGCGCCGGGCACGCGCCGCGCCCCCCGGGCCAATGGGAGCGCGCAGGACGCGTGGGGGGGGGGGGCTGTGGGGGATCTGACAGCGCGAAACGACTCCAGGGCGCGGGGACAGCGGCAGTGGTGGACGAGGTGAGGGGAGACGAGGTGAGGGGAGACGAGGTGAGGACGAGGTGAGGACGAGGTGAGGGGAGACGAGGTGAGGGGAGACGAGGTGAGGGGAGACGAGGTGAGGGGAGCGGGGGTAGAGAGACGAGGTGAGGAGAGCGGGGGTAGAGAGACGAGGTGAGGGGAGACGAGGCGAGGAGAGCGGGGATAGAGAGACGAGGGGAGACGAGGGGAGACGAGGTGAGGACGAGGTGAGGGGAGACGAGGTGAGGAGAGCGGGGGTAGAGAGACGAGGTGAGGGGAGACGAGGTGAGGGGAGACGAGGTGAGGGGAGACGAGGTGAGGACGAGGTGAGGGGAGACGAGGTGAGGGGAACGGGGGTAGAGAGACGAGGTGAGGAGAGCGGGGATAGAGAGAGGAGGTGAGGAGATTGGGGGTAGAGAGACGAGGTGAGGAGATTGGGGGTAGAGAGACGAGGTGAGGGGAGACGAGGTGAGGGGAGACGAGGTGAGGAGAGCGGAGATAGAGAGACGAGGTGAGGGGAGACGAGGTGAGGGGAGACGAGGTGAGGGGAGACGAGGCGAGAGGAGACGAGGCGAGGAGAGCGGGGGTAGAGAGACGAGGTGAGGAGAGACGAGGCGAGGGGAGACGAGGCGAGGACGAGGTGAGGGGAGCGGGGGTAGAGAGACGAGGTGAGGAGAGCGGGGATAGAGAGACGAGGTGAGGAGATTGGGGGTAGAGAGACGAGGTGAGGAGATTGGGGGTAGAGAGACGAGGTGAGGAGAGCGGGGGTAGACAGACGAGGTGAGGAGATTGGGGGTAGAGAGACGAGGTGAGGAGAGCGGGGGTAGAGAGACGAGGTGAGAGGGAGGTGAATATATTGGGGGATACGTTACAGAGGTGACGAGGTCGGGGTTAGCAAGGGGAGGTGAAGAGGAGAACGGGGTTAGATAGACGAGGTGAAGAGCGCTGGCATAGACGAGGTGAGGAGATCGGAGTTGGAAAGACGAGACGAGGAGGTGAGGAAAACGGGGTTCTAAAGACGAGGTGACGAGGAGAACGGAGGGTGAGGAAGAGGAGAACGGAGGGCGAGGAAGAGAACGGAGACTAGGAGGTTGACGAGGTGAGGACGGGGTTAGGTGGACGAGGTCTGGAGGGAACGCTAGATTGGGTCGGGAGGAAGAGGACAGGGTAGGAGGAGGAGGAGGATGAGGGAGAGGTGGACAGGGTGAGGAAGAGAAATACTAATTTGGAGAACAGCGTGAGGCAGTAGATAACGGGGTCCAGAGGACAACGCGAAGAGGTGGATGGAGAGGTGAGGAGGACGAGGTGAGGACGGGTATTTGAGACGGTGGGCTGCTGTAAAGAGAAGGGCAGGGTTAGGAGAAGGAAGAGGTGGATGAGGTGAGCAGGACAACAGAACCTGCACTAGGTCGGGGTGTGGAAGAGCAGGGGGAGGTGAATAACTAAGTCTGGTGGAGGAGGAGGACCAAGAAGACGAGGTTTGAGGAACGGCGTGAGGAGGGGAAACGAGGTGAGAAGGAATTGGAGGAGAAAGTGGACGGGGTTAGGGGTAGGAGGGCGGGGTCTGCAGGAGGGAGGAGCACCTCCGGATGAGCACGGTTGGCTACGCACGGTGCGAAATACATCGTTTGGAGGGCGAATTTGAAGTAGTCGGTTGCGCTGGAGGACGACAGGGTCGGGAAGGAAAGAAGAAAAGACCGGAGGGAAAGGTTTGGGAGAATACTGGGTCTGGAGGAGGAAAACAGAAGGAGAAGAAATAGGACACGAGCCAGAGGACGGTGCTGAACGGAGCGCAGCGTGAGTGGAGGACCGGGAGGGCCATCGCAGGAGGCATCATCCACCTTCCCCCTCAGCCATGGTGGACGTTCTCAGCCCTTCCACCACGCGCAAGCCGAGCAGCGTCTCCAGCCACTTCCCTGGGGTCTCCAATGGCCCTGGTGATGCTTACTGCCGTCCCGCTGCAGCCCGACCCCAGGAGAAGGCTGAAGATGCAGTGGAGGATAACGAGGAGGAGGCGGCTCCGAGGGGACCAGGGGGGCCGAGGTTTTCGGGGCCCCGCTCGGGCTCCATGGAGTCGGGCTCCATGGAGTCGGGCTCTTCCCCGCTGCTGCACATCGACCTCTACAACTTCGATTCCCCCCGCGCCGAGGGGTCGCGCTACGTGCTCACGAGTCCGCGCTCGCTCGAGTCGTGCGCGCGCTGCGGGATACGGCCCGTCGAGCTGCTGTCACGGCCGCTCGCCGACTTTGCGGCACCCGGCACCGGTGACCGGGAATCCAACTCGACCACGAACCTCGGTGGCCTCGGCCGCGACAGCGAGGAGGCGCGTGCAGCGCACGCCGCGTTCGAGCGGGAGAGGAGGCGTAAACTGCGCCGCTGCCGTGATGAGAGGGAGCGGATTCTGCTGGAGGAACGCGAAAAGCGTAGGGAAGCGCAACAGCATAATCATCAGCAGAAGCGAGGAGGGAGCGTGGACCCCTTGCCATCCAAGCTGGCGGGCACCGGGCTGCGACCCTTGGGGATTCCTCACCAGAGCCGTTCCCTGGAGACGGTGCGCGCTTCGCTGCCCCTGCCCGGTCATCGGACCCCGGTCGCGCTCAGCGATGGCTGCAGCCTGGATGATAGCAGCGGGAGCCACGACACGGTGAGCGACCCCCTGGGAAAGACGCGGCCCCGGCAACGCCCGCAGCTGCTGGGCGCCGCTTCCCGGCCGCCGCTCCCACGCCGGGCCCACGATGATCTTCCGTGCCCCGGAGGCCGCACCTCGGGCCCACGCTGCACATTTACGGGCAAGAGCCTGAGCCTGGGGGACCTGAGCCAGGACCCTGGCACCGCCGCGCAGCTGCAGCAGCTCACGCGTGCGGCGGGAGCTGCGGGAGCCGGCGCCGGGACGGGCCCCAGGAAGCGGGCACGGGCGGCCGAGCGTGGCCTGGAGCTGCCGAGCCGGGACCTGAAGATCGCGGCTCTGATGTTGGCACGGCACCGTGAGGAGACGCTCACGGCCGAGCAACGGCGCGACGCGCACCTGCGCTGGGCGGACGCGCGGCGCGCGGAGGAGGAGCGCCGCGCGCTGGACGAGCGCGAGCGCGGCCGCGCCCTGGCGCAGCGCTTGCGGGAACGGGAGCCTCCGCCGTTGGAGCCGCCGCCGCCCCCCCGAGGCGGCGCCGCGGCTGACGCCGCCGCGGCGGCGGCGGGCGGGCAGGACCAGGGGCGCCAGCAGCAGAATCTGCACGAGCGTCTGTCGCTGGCCGAGCGCAAGCGGCTGGAGGCCAAGGAGCGGCGGCGCGGCGAGAGGCGGCTTTCCAACGAGCGGGAGCGCGAGCGGCACCTACGCACGCAGCGGGAGCTCGCGCGGGAGGAGGACGCGGGCGAGGCTCGGCTGCGCGAGGCGCTCGACGCGAGGCTGCGCGCGTCGCAGCGGCGGCGCGACGAGGAGGAGACGCGGCGCCTGCGGGAGCTGCAGCTGCGGGCCGAGCGGGACGGGCAGCGGCTGCGGCGGGCGCGCGCCGCGGCCGAGCGCCTCGACGAGGACATGCGCTCCCGGCGGGAGGCCCTGGCCGCCGAGGCCGAGCGGCGGCTGCGGCAGGCGGCGCTGGCGGCCGGGGAGGGCGCCCAGCGGCGCGCCGAGAGGGCGGCGCGGGAACGGGCGGAGAAGGAGCGGGCGCACGGAGAGGCGGCGAGACGCGCCGTGCTCGAGGAGGAGAACCGCCGGCGGGAGAGGCTGGCGCGCCTCCGCGAGAAGGAGGAGAGGGGAGAGCGGGCGGCGCGGCGGCGAGACGCCAGGCTGGAGGAGTCGCGCTCCGTGGCGAGGGCCTCATTCGAGGTGCGGGAGAAAGTGCGGGAGGCGACGCAGACACGGTCCTTTGACAAGATGGTGCGGGAGGCTGAGCTCCAGCTGCGCCTGCTCTAGGTGGCGTGGGGTTAGGGCTGAGGGTCGTCGTGTTGGTCAGTTACTTCGTCCTTGCTGGACGATTTGTGATCGGTCGGTGTTGGGCCAATGATTGCCCTCGGCGTCACTATATTGTGTGGATCATTGGTTCATTCTGTTATTCATGCAGTATGCGTCCTATGGTGGACATGCATTCAGTTGTGCCCCATTGGACATGTTGCATCGGGGTTAAGTTTTGGACACTGATAGTACAACACTGACTTATTGACTAACGTTGGCTCAATGCAATGTTTATATACTGTTAATAATACTAATCATTTGATAATGCAGTCCATTGTCTAACCAGATGTGTGAAATCCGGTTGACTCGACAAACCTTTTTTTTACCTGGGGAAAAAACAATGTGTTACAAAATAACACATACCTGTCAACCATACGGTTTACCCGTATTCGTTTCAATACCGGAAATGTCTATTTGTTTGTGTTTCTCCCTTGTGATTGGACTTTGTAGGATGAACGTTGAGATTTATAAGGGCATGAGGTGACCAATCAGGTCTGAATTGGTCTGTAATAAGGTCGGCACTGATGAGGGGTCGACAGGTTTGAATTAACAAGGCATAGGTCCAAATGGAATATGAATATACAATATATGTGATAACAACCATTAACAGGTGACAATTATATAGCACGTTAATGTCTCAGTATTTAAAAAGGCAACAAAATGTAAACATTAAGAAAAGCACTTGATCAACATTATAAACAACTCACGACAATAAGCATGTGCATATGGACACAAATGCAGGACTGTTTTCACTGTAATAGAACTAATATTTAGCCGCATGCTTTCCAGGTCAGGAATTCTGCATCGCAATTGGTCAGCATGACAGATTTGAAACGAGCTGCGCCCATTTTAGCGCTCAGCAGCGTACCCTAGCCATTTGTACGCACAGTGCATATGGGATATTAAAGACAAATGAGGATGAAAATAAGGGATTTATTTCAGCCGGGTCTGCCTGTACCAGCGACCAGGAAAATATTTCCGAAATCCAGAGCGCCTTATCCAGTATATTCTCTCGCTATAGCTGTGGCTGTTGGTCACGTGCCTACACCTGTCTGCCAGTCACATAGAAAACATTCAGAAATTAATCCCTGACTAAAAGCCTCCGCACATGTAACTCGACACCCTTGTCAAAGACCTATTCCGTCACGCGAGGCAAAATCCCGTAAAGCTCACATTTAGCCCTTGGCTTAATGGCTGTGATTGAGGGATTTCCGTTTTTTGGTGTCGTGTTGTCCTAATAGCTCAGGAGTACGTAATCCGTGTTATTGATGATGCTGTGTGGATTGGCAGGGAAGCTTAACCATGTAAAAGCACGCGGATTGTACATTTTATTTATTCACAACAAAATACAGGTATGCATATTCCTCAGGCCGCATTTATATCCGCCATACGTTGCTTTGCTTTGGATGGAAAACATTTCTGGAGCTGATTTTATTTATGATCTGACAGATCAATTCCTGTCTGAATTCGCTAATATTCACGTACAACCCTGTTGGCAAGCAACTTGGATAAAGGCTTCTCCACGCCATGAGAATCGTGGGGGGGGTTATTTGACCCTGCTGCACCATGCTGGTCAGTGCGAGTTGGTGAAGCAGAGTGCAGACATGGAGCATTGTACAGGGTGGTCCAAATGTGTGCTGACACCCACATTAATTTACCCCTAAAATGTTGTTCTTATGCGTATTTATTTCTGTTTTAAATAAAGTTTTGCTTAAAAATATGAGGTTTCAGATAATTAAATGTGGGTCACGAGACATCTGGACCACCCTATGTACAGTACTCTAACGGCTTTTGATGCACTTTGCCCACCTCTGAAAACAAATTCACTTAAAACCTTCAAAATTTAAATATATCTTTTATAACTGAGACATTCGATATTGTGTTACGCAATTATGAATTTAGTGAAGTTATCGACTAGTTCACTGTGGTATGCAAAACTAATCTTCACCAATACCTTTTGTGAGGGCGGTGTATGCAGGATGGACACACCCCATCATCGCAAACTACAAATCCAGATCCAAAGCTACAAATACATTCATCTGAGTTTAAAAAAGGGGGGGGGGGGGGACATTGCGTTTTCCCGAATCCTAAAGTTCGAGCAAAACACTTGGCCACCGCCGTACGTTTTGAATAGTTTTTGCCTTTTGTATCCTTTTGCCGTAAATTCTCAAGCACATTTCACCAGCATTCCAACAGGCAATAGAAGCAGCCGTGTCGGCGTCTCTACGCAACACACTGCTCCCCATAAAACCGGCGTTGCCATGGTATTTTCAAACAAATCGTTTAAAACGGTTGGTAGTGGTGTGTGCATCGAGAGTATACTTTAGTGTGTTGTGCGCGTGTGTAATTGTGCGTACGTGTGTATATGTCGCGTGCAGTTGTTTAGTCTCGAACGACTAATTTTAGATTGTCATCAACTAAAGGTACAACAGCAGTTGATAGCGAATCGACGATTGATCGCTAACTCGGTGTATTGTGAATTGAAAACAAATCTCTTCATTAAAAGTAGCCAAATTCAAGGAGGAAATGTTAACGCTTAAACTAAAAAGTGTAAGCGTCTTCATTCTACTATCCATAAATGTGAAATTACAAAAATGTGTAAAGGAATTGGCTTAACATTCCAAGCAGGACCCACCTGAGGTTTTCCTGTTTAAACATCTCAAATTATTTTCTGTACGTAATACCAAATTGGTAGTCTTTTAACTGGAAGCTACCGCACGGATACAGTTTTATATTGAACCTAAACGGTTATTGAATATTCTTGGTTCTTTCGGTAAAGTCACGTAGAAGGGAAACAATAAAATAATAAAAATATAAAACAATAAAATGCTCACGACGTTTCGACTGCAACACAAGCAATCATCATCAGGTGTGAAAACCATCATCAGGTGTGAAAAGCACACCTGATGATGATTGCTTGTGTTGCAGTCGAAACATCGTGATCATTTTATTGTTTTATATATTTTTATTTTATTGTTTCCCTTCTACGTGACTTTACCGAAAAAAACAAGTATATGAATCCCTGCAGTCACGAAAGCTTTGAATCAAAGGTTATTGAATATTTAACGTGTGTGCATTGTAAAATGCTGTGGTGTGTTTTTACATTGTGTATTCGTGCACATAGGAGGGGGCAACCAAAAGGTTTTGAGATCTTAAAAACATATAACCACACGGAACGAATATTGCAGGTTTATTTAATGCTCTAACTTGTGTTTAAAAGTCAAAAGTTAAATGAAACGACTGAAAACAGTGGTTTAGTTGTATTTTTGGTGTGGGCCCTTGGTGCAACGAATTAAACGTGGCCCCCGTCCAATGTCCCACCTCTTCACAGCTCGGCACCTGAGACCCTCCAGTCGTTCGTTTTCCAGAGCCATGTGCACTGCCTGCTCGCTCGGTAGCTACACCACTGGCTGAAACGCATCACCTTTGCCGATTTCACCTGTTGTTGGTGATAAAGACATTGGTGCGTTTTCTCTACTAATTTTGACAAAGTAACTTTATGATGACGACCAGTCACAAAGTGTAAATCTTCGGGCATTGCTTATGTGCAATGGTGGACAAATATATATGGTGGAAATTCAACATTCTAATGGCAGGGACCCGTCTCGCCTAGGATGACCCCTGTTTTCTTTAAATTCGCCGTTGTAAGTTTGCATGGACGTTGAATTTATTTCACACCATAAGTAGCCAACGGTTTGGGGGAAAATGACAAGAAACGGAACACAAAAGCAGTTTTAAATAAATTATTTTCAATTTAGATTAAAATTGCATAACTCCAGTGAAGAGCGTTCCAAACGGCCACAGAAGTGCATCTGAAAGCACGCAACCATTGGTGTTGACATAAGAGTAATTTTAATTTATATAGGATCTAGAGTATGAATACAACAGCTTCTCTAGAACACTGTACATAGCAACTGCACAACAAACATAAAACTCAAACAAATATTGAAAAAAAGTTAAATAATTATCACGAAAAAAACACGAGTTGGCAGATTGAGCATCACCAAGACAGACCGTGCACAGGCCGCCTGAACCACCACAACCTCCTACACCAATGGGCATTGTAACGATGGGTGGATGCAACAACATCTCAAATTATAGTAATAGGTTTTACCCTTTTAACTGGCACAAAAACTGACACCTTTATTCAAGGCATCATGTTTGCAATAACCAGTTAAAAGGGTAAAACCTATTACTATATCTTGTTACTGGCAAAGGAGGTCTCATAATGTAAAAACATCTCAAATTGTTATGCAAATTTGGTGGACATAAAACAGGGGGAAAAGTAAACAGTGGCGATGATGAAGGGGAAGGTCTTCGTCGAGCAATCCACTGCTACGTGAAGGCTTGCCACACCATATCGGTCACGGAGGTTTATTTTTAACAATATTTCAACACGCTGGCCATTGTGGGTTGGTGAAGTGGATTGTCAAGGGGTCGGACCAGTTAAATTAAAAGTCAGATTGGTTTCACAGTGCAGGGCACTAACAACTGGGCTGCCACTTCACCATTTATATAATGTTAGACATATTATTTATAGTCTCTGAACCTTTTGAGCGCCCTGCTAAAATAACGAAGTATCGACGAGATCTTTTTTATGGAGTTTGTTGAATATAAAGTTTGCCAAACAGGTATGTCAACGCTTAAACCACTTATATGTTCTTTTCAACATGAAGTTTTTTTTGTGAAAATATCCACACACTGTATTTTATACCCTCTTCAAAGTTGAGGTTTGCTCAGGACTTTTTTGTTTCGCTTGTGGTTTGTGCAATGATGATACGCTTTTCACACTTGTGTCGTAGTGGCAGAAAGCCCCACGGAGTAGAACTCTACCGTATCGACCGTGTGTAGATATTGTTTTCTGAAATAAATCCAGCTACGTCCAAATTATCCTTAATGTGCTGGATCTCGTCAAAATTCGTGAAGCTCAACCTGGTTCGTAGTTGGATGGGTGACCAACATCAGGGCTTCTCGGGTGGGGATGCGAGGTGTGGCCAGTAATGGCTGCGCTGAGTTTCACCCCCTCGTATGCATGGTGAGTTTCCGCTCACATGAAGCCAGTCACATGAAGGGAATGAGACAAACATTCCAATGTTGCGGGACTTTTTTTTAAAGAGTCTTGGGAATCGGTAAGGCTATTCTGGGTAAGTAGCATTATATCACTGTTACTTTACACGTTGGACACATTGTGAACCAGTTTAATCAAATTTTTGTCATGGTTATGTACACTTGCAGGTTATTTTTAAAATAAATTGTGTGCAATGCATGGTGGTTGGTGTGGCATGTAGTGTTCTATTGGTCATCGCATTTCAGTTTCCACCGTTTCAAACAGTATTTTTTTCGAATAAAAAACACTGAATAAATAGATTTATTACACTGACAAAAGTGATGAGTTTTATTTTGCTGGCATTGCATTAACAGAGGAGATGGAGCGATGAAATTAGTTCATGTGCACGTGCTATGTGGATTGCTACATTGCAGGATTCTAGAGAGATGGCGTTGGATTGTAGAGACCTCCATCCAGCAGTGGATTGGCTACGAGTGATAATGATATAGAGAATGGGAAAATATGCTGAAGTTGGTAATGATGGTGGTGGTGTCGGTCATAATGATGGCAATGATAGTGATGATGGTGGCGCTGGTGGTGGGAATGTTGATGGTGATGATAAGGATGATAGTGATGGTAC